TGTATCTCATATTTATTCCCTTGTTATTAAATCAAATACTAATATATCCTGAAGAGTACAAGCACAACTCTAGAATGTTCATATGTTGTGAATTATTGATAACATATGAAAATTAATCTTGGAGGCTGCTTTAGGCAGAGAACCGAATAACTTTAATAACATCAAGGATTTCTGAAGATAATAATATTATATATTAATGTCTTCAGAAATTCTTGATTTTATAGAAGCATAGAGTTTGAAGGCATTCCCAGCATATGACCGCACAGCCTCTGCTTAAAAACCTCCAGAGAAGGAGACTCCCCTGTGGTCCAAAGCAGCATATTCCACTGCTGAAAAGCTCTTGCCCTCAGGAAGTTCTTCCTAATGTTTAAGTGGAATAATTTTTCCTGCAATTTGAAGCTACATGCTCCATATGCAAGTCTCTTTTTGTATGTATAGCTTATACTTTAATTATTAATGGTGGGTCTTACACATAATAGAGGTTTCTATTAACAAAGTATAGAATTTCTTTTAAAAAGTTACCAAAACAATTGCAGTGAACAATTTTAAGGTTTGAGAGTTCTGCAGTGTTCATACTGGCCAGCTGTATCATCAACATTCAGTTATGGAAGGTGGCAAACTAGAAGATTGGACAGGTACAAAGATGTCTTCACTGACAGCCTCCCAAAACTGGAAAATAATTTAAAATGAGGCAGCCCTACACTCTCCAGGGCAGAAAGATCTGTCATTGCTTCTGCTCTGGAGTAAAGGCATGCCATAATTAGTTTGGGAGGTTAGTTAGTTACATATATTCAGCCAGCCTTCCTTCCCGGATGTGTTATTTAGGATTTGCTTGAGACTCGGAGTAATAGTTCTGTGCTACCTTTTTGCCCTCTTACCGCAGCAGCATTAATAGCTAAACTGATTGTAGTAGCTCAGTTGAATTGATCTCATTGGAGCTGTGCTCCAAGGAGGAAGGGATATCTGAAGTGTTCTCTTTTCGTCCACAAAGTGGCAACAGAATTCAAACTGTTTCTGCATCCTTTCTCAAAGTGACAAGTAATTTCAAGTAAGGGTGGGACATATGTTGCCTTCCAGATGTTGGACTGTGACTTCCATCATCCTAGTAAGCCTAGCTAATGGTGGGGGACAATGGGCATAGCAGTCTAGCAGGAATTGGGGAAGGGGCACATGTGTCCCATTCCTGATATGAAGGAGGGAGTTGAACTGGAGAGTGGTTAGAAATGTCATAGTGAAGACATTGGGGTGATGGATAATGATAAGGGGGGCAATGCAGAAGTGAATGGAGAAACAGAAAAAAATTAACCTACAATGTTTTGTGAGTTGATACTATATGTAATGATATATTATTCTCCTATAATAAATTCTAGTTTTCAGTTAAGACATTGGATCTTTCCCCATTTTCCAGGCACCTTGGACAGAGAACATAATACAGCTTCTACAATAGGAGCAAAACGGTAAGCTGTAAAAGCAATATTTTTTGAGTTTTTAGAACGGATCGGTATCAGTTATACTGTTAATCCAGATGCTTAATTGAATTAGCGTTTTTTTCCCATTTCAGATCTGGAAAAGCGCTTCACCAATCAACATCCAAAAAAGCCAAATCAGCCAATTCCAAGTGCACAATAGAAACATTTTTTAAATGAATGCTATATATTATAAGGAAGACATTTTGATCAATGTTATAGCACTGCAAAACATACTGATGAAGCTATTTTCATTGTGTATATATTTTATATATGATTTTGCACTTATCAAAGGGACATTTTACTCTCAAATAGTTGCCTTGCAGTAACTTGATATTTTGAATAATGAAGATGTACTTATGCGAAAAATGAATGAATTGAAGGATGAAAATGCATTGAATGAAGTCAGCAGCTCTCAATGTATTTTGCTTGTGAGAGTTGGTATTTTTATTATTCGTGGCTATGCTTGAAAAAGTGAAATGATTGCCTTTTCATTTGATAATGAACAGATGCACTTCATGAATTGGATATTGTCAATGTGAGCTTTTTATGATCTGGAAAGTCACCTACTGTGCTGTATAAAAATTACTGCAGGAAGTTATGGTACTTTGTAGTCAAAATACACTAAGCATGATAAACACATTTTTGAGCCTTATCTACATACAACTACAAACACGCATGCACCTACAGATACACTTTAATATAAACAAGACATGCTTTCCATTTATAACTTTTCAAAATTTCACATACTACACAAATTAATGTAAAGCACCTAAAGAAATTTTATGCTATTTTTGTAGCTCAAATGTAGGCAAGCTGATACAAATTTAGTTTTAGTCTCTTTCATATGAACTGAATACAGCTTTTAAAAAAATATCCTTAATGCCCTGTAAGAGCTTGCCAACATTTACAAGGAAAGACCCGTGTTTTAGCATATGCATCTTTTATAATATATGGCTTTGCAGAAAACTATTTTCAGTACAATTGTCAAAAAGTACTTTGCCTTCCCAAGATGGCTGGCCATGTTAAGGAAGCAATTTTCTTATCCAGATTCTTCCGGCTGCAGTAAGACTATTCTGGTGTAAACAGATTGAGTGTAAGAAAATTAGGTTAGGAAATTGTATAATGAAATAAATCCTGTCGGTGTGCTGCCTTTTAAAATTATTATTATTATTATTACGTTATTACTTCAGATAAATTTCAAAATGGTCAGAATAAGAGGCACTCTTTATATGAAGGTATTTCACCACCATGTTTTAAAGTATTTGCATTTCTAAATATTAATATATTTTGTTCTTTACATGAATTATGTATTTTGAAATAAATTAATTTTATTTGTGATGTAATATCCAAAACATTTTTATCAATAGCTTTATTTCCATCAATGTGAACCTCAGTGTAATGCAAACCAATAAGAAGCTTTGAAAAATATTTGAACATTATTAAAAGTGCACTTCAATTATTAATTTTTGTGGTAAAAGCTGCTTTTTATCTTTCCTTGCTCCACCTGATCAATCTGTGCTGTATTCTCAAGAGCTCAGTCTTGTGGAACAGGTTTTCGCTATGGTAGTGAAATTGCTCTGAAATCATTATTTGGCAATTCTTCCTCCACTTTGTCATAAAGTCCTCTTTATTTCAAAGAATATCAGGAGTAAATAGTGGGGGGGGGGGGTATTTTGGCATTTGGAAATGTAACCAACTTATTTCAGTAGATGTTGCCAATGACTACAGCACACTTCTGTTTTTGTAAAATCCCAGGCCAATCACACAGGCCCACCCTAAAAACCAACTTGGCATGTTTATAGCCTAGTTGTTTTGCCAGATAAGCACAGGTGAAATGGAGTTGCATGCAGGTGAGGCAGGCAGAGAAAAGATAAAGCATTCCAGTCTCTGCAGCACACAGAACAGAAACCAAGCAGGAAAAAGTGGGATACAGCAGTATTATGTATATTTATGTCTTGCTTTTTCTCTGGGACAGCTGAATAAATTCCTAAAACCCTGAAAACTGGCTGTAGAGCTCTATCCCAAATGGCATTATGAAATTTTACCTCTGGTTTCTATATCATAGATTCTTCACAATCTCATCCACATTTACTTTCATATTAAGTCATCATTTTCAGTGTTTATTTAGCAGGTGTAAAATTAGCACAAAGACTGATAACTTTTGAATCTTCAACCTCTAACTCACTTTCACAGCAGTCCTCCATTGCAGTTTGGGACTGTGCAGATTGAGGAAGGAAATCATTTGGGGAAACAGAATTGGTAGCTGAGTGGAGAAATGTCCACTGACGGCGAAAATGTAATGAAGCTTGATCATCCCTTATTTGAAATACTGAAATCCTCTCAAATCCAGTGTTGCTCACATAGGCGGGTTAGGATCTGTCTAAGGCAGTCGTTCCCAACCTGTGGTCTGTGGACGAAAATATGGTCCACGGCCTCACCATTACTACACCATTGCTTCAAAACCACGTGGCAACAGAAGTGACTGGTCTTGCAAAACCCTCTTATAGTGCCGAGGCAACGAGGATGTCAGGATGGGAGAGGCTGACTACCCACGAAAGATTACTACAACCACATCAGCTCTAGATTATTAAATATGGTTTTCTGTGGGTGAGCAGATGGCAACTACTGGATGGCGTATGTTCTGTATCAGAAGCTACAGCTAATGTGGTTTATCCAATGCAATTTTCTGAATTGACACCCCAAATAACCAAACCGAATCTAAAGTTGACCAAAAACTGATTTGTAACCCTTTTAGTACTAATGTTGGAGAGTGGTCTCTGGTCAAAGTGGTCCCTGGTCAAAGCATTCCCTGGTCAAAGTGATCCCTGGTCAAGTGGTCCCTGATCAAAATGTTCCCTGGTCAAAGTGGTCCCTGTTCAAGTGGTTCCTGGTCAAAGCATTCCCTGGACAAGCGTTCCCTGGTCAAGTGGTTCCTGGTCAAAGCGTTCCCTGGTCAAAGTGGTCCCTGGTCAAAAAAAGGTTGGGAACTACTGATTAAGGTGTTGACTGAATTAATGCAGTTTAACACCACTGTAACTGCTATTGTTCAACCCAGTAGACTCTTGGAAGTTGTAGTTTTACAAAACCTTTAGTCGCCTCTGCCAAAGAGTGCGGCACCTCATCAAATTACACATCCTAGGATTCTTTAGCACTGACTAAACCAGGGCAGTGAAAGCTGTGTCAAACCATTAATTCTAAAGTGTAGATTGCCTTTGAAGTAGCAACCCCTTTGGTTTCTGGTGGGTCCATGGACAACAGACAGTTTCATGCACAAAATCATAAATATTGTGCGTAACATTATCTTCAGCTGATATTATGGGCCCAAAGTCACAAAGGGGTTCAATATCAATGACTGCTTTATCTGAAAGTACAATAACATAGCATCCGCTTAAGCGGCTGAGGGGGAAAAGGAAGGGGCCTGAGGCTGTTAGAAATGGTGGGAGTTGAAGTCCAAAGCACCTGGAGGGCCCAGGTTGGCCCATGCCTGGTACACACCTTGCTATTCTCCCAGGTGCCACAAGGCTCTCCTGAATGAAGGTGGAGGAGGCCCTTCCCAAACAAAGGCTGGGACACCTGCTGCTGCTGCTGCTCCTGCTCCTGGGCAGGGAGTCGCCGGGCAAGGAGGGAGGAAAGGAGGAAGGGAGCGACGCCTGTCCTTCGGGGCTGGCCTTTGCTTGCCCCTCGGCGCCATGGAGGCGACCTGGAGCCGCGCCGTCAAGAGCCTGACGGGTTTGATAGGGAATTTGAACCCCATTCCCGACGAAAGCGACAGCGCAAGAGCCGCAGCGGCGGAGGAGGCAGCCAACGCGGAGATCCGTGAGTTTTCCTGCACAGAAGGAGAAGGGAGGAACCAGCAGGAAGCCCAAAAGCAGCCTCTTTGGGAGAGAACCCTCCTTCTGCTCTCTGGTCCTTTTGGTTCCCCTCTGACTTTGGGTTCTTTTGGGGAAACCCCTCTCTCTGGCTCCTCTTTCTTTAGGGGAGGGCGGGACTCTTTTGGGAGATCCCCCCTTGCCTTTGGTTGTTTTGGAGGGGACCCAACCCAGACCCTGGTTCTTTTGGGGAGTCCCTTCTGCCCGTGTCTGTCTCAAAAAGGGTCCCTCTCCCCTTTGGCGGCTTTGAACCCATGTTGCTGAAAATAGTCGCGCTCTGGTCGCAAGTTGAGAAGATAAACTTTGGGTTTTGTTTCAACCCTTACACATGCCAGACAAGTCACGCTGTCTCAGCCCAGAAGGCGGCAATGGCACAAGCCCCTCTGAACAAATCTTACTTCACATTGATAACTGCATCTCACAGCATTCTGATCCTCACCATGGGCTGTTTGGGCCAAGATTGGTGTGAATTGCACTTTGTCAACACATCTTTTCACAGTTCCCTTGGGTCTAAAACTGTGGTTCTCAACCTGTGGGTCCCCAGGTGTTTTGGCTTACAACTCCCAGAAATCCCAGCCAGTTTATCAACTGGTAGGATTTCTGGGAGTTGAAGGCCAAAACATCTGGAGATCCACAGGTTGAAAACCACTGCTCTAAAACCTGAAAAGTAGAAAGCAGAGGAGAGGGTGAACCCTGGCACCATGGTGATTGGGAAGCAAGAAGGAAGTCAAGCAAGTACATTAAGGATACCCTCTTCAGCAGTGTTTCTCAACCTGGGGGTCAGGACCCTTGGGGGGTTGCAAGGGGGTGTTGGGGGGTCACCAAAGACCGTCAGAAAACACAGTACTTTCTGCTGGTCATGGGGGTTCTGTATAGGAAATTTGGCCCAATTCTATCATTGGTGGAGTTCAGAATGCTCTTTGATTGTAGGTGAACTATAAATCCCAGCAACTACAACTCCCAAACATCAAGTCTATTTCCCCCAAACTCTGCCAGTGTTCACATTTGGGCATATGGAGTATCTGTGCGAAGTTTGGTCCAGATCCATCATAGTTTGAGTCCACGGTGCTCTCTGGTTGTAGATGAACTGCAACTCCGAAACTCAAGGTCAACACCCACCAAAGTAAGAGTTAATTAAATCAATTTAATATTTGCTTCTCACAGACTTAGCATGGGGATTTGGCTCATGAGTATACCAGTTTTTTGGGGGGTGGGGTTCAGAATGCTCTTTGATTGTAGGTTAACTATAAATCCCAGCAACTACAACTCCCAAGTGACAAAATCATTCCCCCGCCCAAACCCACCAAACCCAGTATTCAAATTTGAGCGTATGGTGTATTTGTGCCAAATTTGATCCAGTGAAGGAAAATACATCCTGCATATCAGATATTTACATCATAACAGTAGCCAAATTACAGTGATGAAGTAGCAACGAAAATAATTCTATCGTTGGGGGTCACCACAACATGACGAACTGTATTAAGGGGTCATACCATGAGGAAGGGTGAGAATCGCTGGTCTAAAACCTGAGTTTTCTGGGCTGTATGGCCATGTTCCAGAAGCATTCTCTCCTGACGTTTTGCCTGCATCTATGGCAGGCATCCTCAGCGGTTGTGAGGTCTTTTGGAAACTAGGCAAGTGAGGTTTATATATCTGTGGAATGTTCAGGGTGGACAAAAGAACTCTTGTCTGTTTGAGGCAGGCGTGAATGTTGCAATTGGCCACCCTGATTAGCATTGAAGAGCCTTTCAGTTTCAAGGTTTGGCTGCTTAGTGCCCGGGGAATCCTTTGTTGGGAAGAGTTGGCATTGTCCATAGACACCTCCAAGGTCATGTGGTCGGCATGATGGCATGGAGCACGGTTACCTTCCAGTAGAAGCGGTACCTATTGATCTACTTACACTTGCATGCTTTTGAACTGCTAGGTTGGCAGAAGCTGGGGCCAACAGCGGGAGCTCAGCCCGCTCCCTGGATTTGAACCGCTGACCTTTCGTTCAGCAAGTTCAGTGGTTTAACCCCTGCACCACCAGGGGCTCCGCAATAAAATAAAAATTAACATTTTAAAATCATTTAACAATGTACAATGACAATAAAGTTATGCAATCTATATATATAAATTTGTTAGGGGCATCCAACGGAGAAACAAAACTCAAAAACCCCCCAACGAAACTTAACCAAAATTCCCATGCCCATAACACAACCCACAAGGTACAAACATATCTACTCAAAATGAAAAACAACACAACAACACACTCACAAAACGGCAAAAGAACAAAACTCAAACATCCCCCAACGAAACTTAACCAAAATTCCCATGCCCATAACACAACCCACAAGGTACAAACATATCTACTCAAAATGAAAAACAACACAACAACACACTCACAAAACGGCAAAACAACAAAACTCAAAAAACCCCAACGAAACTTAACCAAAATTCCCATGCCCATAACACAACCCACAAGGTACAAACATATCTACTCAAAATGAAAAACAACACAACAACACACTCACAAAACGGCAAAACAACAAAACTCAAAAAACCCCAACGAAACTTAACCAAAATTCCCATGCCCATAACACAACCCACAAGATACAAACATATCTACTCAAAATGAAAAACAACACAACAACACACTCACAAAACGGCAAAACAACAAAACTCAAAAAACCCCCAACGAAACTTAACCAAAATTCCCATGCCCATAACACAACCCACAAGGTACAAACATATCTACTCAAAATGAAAAACAACACAACAACACACTCACAAAACGGCAAAACAACTGAGCATGCGCATTGGCGCCCAGCCGCAAGTTCCCTGGCGCGCGCACATGGCCTTCCGGCCAACGTTCCCTCTGCGGAAACCATGCCCACTCCAAGCCCCACTGCGCCGCTTCCCGCACACACACACCCCCTGCCGCACACACACACACAACCCCACACTCCATCACTCCCCCCGCCGCCGCACACACACACGCAACCCCACTCCCCCCCCCCCCGCACACACCCACGCAACCCCACGCTCCATCACTCCCCCGCCGCCGCACGCACACACACGCAACCCCCCCTCCCCCCGCCGCCGCACACACACACGCAACCCCATGCTCCATCACTCCCCCGCCGCCGCACACACACATGCAACCCCACGCTCCATCACTCCCCGCCCCAATCTTACCTCCTTTTACTTCACGCCACCTCCAAACCCCACCCCGCCCCTTCCCGCCCTGTCAAAATCTAGGAAAGACAGGAAGGAAGGAAAGAAAGAAGGAAGAAAGAGAAAGGGAGGTAAAAAAAGGGGGAAGGAAGGAAAGTTAGAGAAAGAAGGAAGAAGAAAAGGAAAGAAAAGGAAAGATGGAAGGAAAGAAAAGAGAGACAGCAGAAAAGAAAGAAAAAGGGGGAAGGAAGGAAGGAAAGAGATAGAGAAAGAAGAGGAGAAGGAAAGATGGGAGGGAAGGAAGGAAGGAAAGAAGGAGAGAAAGAGGGAAGATTGGCCACAGCAACACGTGGCGGGTAAAGGTTGTTATTTCTATTATTATTATGCTATTGTTCCTATGAGACCCTTTTAGGGGGAATGGGAGAGGTGTCAGGTCCCAGAGGCAATGTATTGCATTATTGTTATTGTTATGATGGTGGTGAAATAAAAGGAAATAAAAAGTGAAAGAAGGAAGCAAACAGGGAGGGAAGAAAGGCAAAGGAAGAAAGGGGGAGGGAATGAAGGAAAGAGAGAAGGATGAAACCAAGTAGTGAAAGAAAGAAAGAGGTAGAGAAGGAAGAAAGGAGAGAAAGAGGGAGGAAAAGGGGGAAGGAATAGGTAGGGACCTCTCTCATAATAGTCCAGATGTCTACCTCAACTTTGATAAGTTTTACTATAGGCCACAGCAACGCGTGGCAGGGCACAGCTAGTTCTATATATATTTGGCTGGAGTTACACTTTCAAAATGTACCTGTTCCAACTTAGATGCAACTTCAGCTTAAGAACAAACCTTGTTCATAACATGGGGACTACCTGTATACTCAATTGTCACCCATCTATTCTTTTCTCTTGAGAATAGAAACAGCTATTAGTTCTTATTTTATTTTGTAATTTTACCCAAAATTACAATTTAATAGACCAAAGGTAGGAGTGTGTATATCTCGAGATTCACAATGCGATTCCCATCATGATTTATTACTGACCATGCTGACTGAATTGCATAAGATTGGAGACCACAGATTTTTAAAATACCTGGTGTAACTAAATGCTATGTCCACCTGCATTATATTTGTTGAGGCTGAATATTGAAAGTTGAGAACCTAGGCCAAAGGTCCTTCTCAGATTTGAAATTGTGGGAAGGAGAGAGAATGCTGCCATACTAGCCTGTCTCGTCTGTTTGCTTAATTCTCTTCAAGGACTAAAAGGAAGGTCAAACATTTGCTTTCATTATTAAGTTTATTTATTCTACCTTTTCCACCAAAACTAGGACTCCTTCCCCCCGTTATGCACAAGATATAAATGCATAAAGGCAGCATAGGGCTAGGAAAATTTTTCCCTCCCTCCCTGAATGGTTGAAATATCTATATTTTCTATATACCTACTACAAATGAAAATATGTATTTGTGTATGTGGCTGGCTCCCACATCCACAAACAGCTTTAACCCACAGTGCTGAGGAGCCACCAAAAGCCCTATTTCCAATGACATTTCAGATTAAAGGGAATGCCATGAACTTGTAGCCCAATCCCCTGCCAATGTCCTCCCCAAACACCATACTGCTCACCACCCAAGGAATGCTTTCATTTGAGGACTATTTCATCCTAGATTTTACGTGTTTCCTCCACTACAGACATCCCAGTGTTTCTTACTCTCTCCATTGGTGTGGAATTTGCATGATCCCACCCACTGCTTCTCTCTTAACCCTTTCCTACTCTTTTCAACGCTGTTTGCAAAATAAACAATAAACATACTGGCGGAGTTTGGGGGATTGACTGCAGATGATGGAAGTTGTAGTTCACCCTGCATCAAGTCAGAGCATTGTGACCCCTACTGACAATGGACCTGGACCACATTTAGAACTCCCATGACCAAAGAAAAATACTGGAGGGCTCTGGGTGGGAATTCAGATAATCTGGGGTCAGATCCTGGATTATAGGGCAGTATAGATCCAGCTTCAGATAGATATTGTTGAAATGGTTTCTATTCTTCTAAGAATGAGTCAGTGACTTAGTCTTCAACAACATTGTTAATTGTCCATTTATATTTAAAATTGAACAGAATGGAAATACAACATCCCCTGGATTAAAAGTTCATCTATTGCAACATATAAGAAAACGTGTTTCTGTTTTGCAGTTCTTCCTGATGAAAAAGAATTCCAGCATGCGGCTAAAACTAATAATCTGGAAACGATGGAAAGACTGTTTCAGAAAAAAGTTAACATTAATGCTGCAAATATTGTAAGTATAAAACACTCTAGTGCCCAAAACAAACCAGCCATTAATTAAACCAGAGTATGTTGTCGAAACCTTTCATGGCCGGAATCACTGGATTGCTGTGAGTTTTCTGGGCTGTATGGCCATGTTCCAGAAGCATTCTCTCCTGACATTTTGTCTGCATCTATGGCAGGCATCCTCTGAGGTTGTGAGGTCTGTTGGAAACTAGGCAAGTGAGGTTTATATATCTGTGGAATGTCCAGGGTGGACAAAAGAACTCTTGTCTGTTTGAGGCAGGTGAAAATGTTGCAAATGGCCACCTTGATTAGCATTGAATGGTTTTGCAGCTTCAAAGCCTGGCTTGTTGCTGCCTGGAGGAATCCTTTGTTGGGAGCTGTTAGCTGGCCCTGATTGATTCTTGTCTGGAATTCCACTGCTTATTGAGTGTTGCTCTTTATTTACTGTCTTGATTTTAGAGTTTTTTTTTAAAAATACTGGTAGCCAGATTTTGTTCATTTTCATGGTTTTCTCCTTTCTGTTGACATTGTCCACATGCTTGTGGATTTCAATGGCTTCTCTATGTAGTCAATTACAATTTGGTTTTTGGTCAATTTTAGATTTGGTTTGATTACTTGGGGTGATGTTTAGAAAATTGCATTGGATAGACTGTTGCATCAGCTCTAATTTCTGATACAGAATGTATGCCATCCAGTAGTGCTTGCCCACAGAAAACTATATTTAATAAGCCTCAGCACGATAAGAGGGTTTCACGAGGCCAGTCGCTCTTGTTGCAATGGTGTAGTAACTGTGAGGCCGCAGGCCATATTTTAGTTCTTGTGGACCAGTGGTGTTCCATGGACCACGGGTTGGGAACTACAGATATAAAATATTATAATGCGCATATATATATAATACTAGAGTATACAGTAAGCGTAATTTTTCCGTCCTTTTTAAGGCTGGAAAAGCCTCCCTCAGCTTATATTCGAGTCAAAGTTATTTATTATTTTACTCTGTTATTATTATTATTATTATTTCCCCTCGTGGTCACCTGTGAATTTGCACATATGGTATAATCCTGTGCTCACACAGGCAACGGAAACTCTATTTTATTATTACATTTATTATTTTACTTTATTATTGTTGTTATTATTACATCTATTATTTTACTCTATTATCACTGTTATTATTACATTTCCATTATTTTACTCTATTATTATTTTTACATTTATTATTTTACTCTATTGTTATTGAAAGGCTACATAAGCACCTTTACGTTGAAGAAGGTTAGAATAATTGTTTAATCAGAGTTGGACAGTCTTATCTTAAATTAGTTTCATGTAAATATTCAGATACATTTAACCTACGGATGCCTCAATTAATGTAATTTTTTGGTATCTATATTTATTTTCAAATGTACCAATAGCTGCTGCATTGCCCACTCTCGGCTTACACTTGAGTCACTACATTTCCCCAGTTTGTGGTAAAATTAGGTGTCTTTGCTTATATTCGGGTCAGCTTATACTCAAGTATATATGGTGTATGTATGTGTGTGAGTGTGTATGTATATATAATGCTAAGAATATTGGTATTAATTCCTACCTGTGCATCTTGCAGTGGATTTAAAATGCATGAATTAAAAAGGTATTATTTGCATATACTTGTTCGCCTCCTTATGAACAAATATTGTACTTTCCTACTGTAGTCACAGACGACTGTCTCCAAATATTTACCTACTTGACTAAATTCATTGAGCTTATCATTCTTATTTATATATGTAGATTCACCTATATTTGTGGAAGTATAGCCTTTATTTTCCTAACAACACAGAATTTTGACATAGTATTAATGATTAAGAACTGGAATCTGCAATTTTATATGCCCCCATAACTCTTGACCTCATCATCACAACATCCTGTGCCTAAAATTTTATATTTTGCTTTCCTCTTATTTTAGCTGAAGCGCACAGCTCTCCACTTTGCTGTTGCAGGAAATCATATATCTGCAGTGGACTTTCTCCTCCATCACAAAGCTAGAATTGATATTGCTGATAAGGTGATGAAAATGGTTCTTTAATATTACTTTACCTTTGCTGACACTGAGAAATAGGAATATTTTATAGAAATGCTGACATTGATGGAGGGCCCATCTTTCCCTCTGTTTTCAAGGAGAATACCTGTAAAATATGAAATGTTGACAATTTCCTTATAAATATGTAAATAAATAAAATTACAAAGTAATTTTAAGACTGGCTGAAGGACCACCAATCAGGCCCGTAGCCAGTATTTCATTTCGGGGGGGGGGGGGCTGAATTTTTTTCAGGGGGGGTTGGGGGGGCTGAGTTTCGGGGGGGGGCTGAGTCTGAGTGAAAGAGGGTCTACCCTAGCAAACCTTTTGTATCATTACCCCAATACCCCCATGCATATGGGATATATTGAGTATGGTGATCAGATCATGATATCAATAAACATAACAGTTTAAATAATGCACCAGTAAGGCCTTTTCGCGAACCACCATGAAGCCCCTCAAGCCCCCCCCCCCGGCTACATGCCTGCCCACAATGCATGCCTGCTCAGTAGCCAAATGATGGCTGAAGACTCACCAAACTACAACTCCCAAGATTCCATAGCATTGAGCCATGGCAGTTAAAGTGGTGTGGAACTGCATTCATTCAACAATGTGGATATGTCCATAGTTTCCTAACTGCAGTTCTGGGAAAATACTAACAGGCTGTGGCCCCATCTACACTGCCATATAATACAGTTTCTGAATAAATACTACTACTACTACTACTACTACTAATAATAATAATAATAATAATAATACACTTTATTTATATTCCACCCTTCTCCCCATGGAGATTCAGAGTGGATTACAGTATAAACAGATACTGGGAAACATTCAATGCCTTGTTACAATACAATGAGACACACAAACACAAACAAAGGCAAAGGCTTCTCCTTTCATTTCTGGCTTTGGAGGCGGTGCTCATCTCTGGCTTTGTGGGAGGTGCTGTTCTCCATTTCCAAGCCGAGGTGCCTGTATTGTCACCTCCTGGCCATGTGACCGGCATGACTGCTTGGAGCGTCTTATGCCTTTCCTGCCCAAGTGGTACCTATTTATCTACTCACATTTGCCTGTTTTCAAACTGCTAGGTTGACAGGAGCTAGGGCTAACAGTGGGAGATTACCCCATCCCATGGATTGGAACTGCCAGCCTTCAGGTTCAGCAGTACAAGGGTTTAACCCATTGCGTTATCCAGTGAATCCAGATTATCTGCTTTGAAGTGGATTTAGAAACTGGATTATATGTCAGTATAGATTCAGCCTGACATACAATTTGTTAAAGGGATTTCAGAAATAATGTATTTGCAGCAGCTTGAATGCTGAAAAAAGGTACATATGTGTTACTAAGGCAGTGTTTCTCAACGTGGGGGTCGGGACCCCTGGGGGAGGGGTCACAAGGGGGTGTAAGAGGAGTCGCCAAAGACCAAAAGAAAATACAATATTCCTGTTGGTCATGGGGATTCTGTGTGGGAAGTTTGGCCCAATTCTATCAATGGTGGGGTTCAGAATGCTCTTTGATTGTAGGTGAACTATAAATCCCAGCAACTACAACTCCCAAATGACAAAATCTATCCCCCCCCCCAACCCCACCAACATTTAAATTTGGTCCAGTGAATGAAAATACTCATAACAGTGATTCATAACAGTAGCAAAATTACAGTTATGAAGTAGTAATGAAAATAATTTTATGTTTGGGGGTCACGGCAACATGGGGAACTGTATCAAGGGGTCGCAGCATTAGGAAGGCTGAGAATCACTGTACTAAAGTTTCCTACAGAATTTGCCCCAGAGCAAATCCCCATTTGTTATGCCAATTAATTATATTATTCCATGCAATATAAATGAAGAACAGTTTTGAATTTCATTGTAATGTCTTGCACTCTTTTATCTCCTTTGAAGCATGGACTTGTTCCAATTCATCTTGCTGCGTGGACTGGAAATCTGGACATAATGCTGATGTTAATCAAAGCAGGTGCTGATCAAAAAGCTAAGAACCAGGTTTGTTGCATATATATACAAAACAACATTAAGCAGTTATATGATAGGAGAATTCCTAATTCTGTTTTACGGCCTGTTTTGTCTTTTCCTTAGGAAGGAAGAAATGTCCTCCACTTTGCAGCTCAGAATAATAATGTCAGAATCGTGGACTATTTCATCCAGGATCTTCACTTGCTTGACCTCAATACCCCTGATGAGGTATTATGAGCAAATGACATATTATGGACTATCTGCTACTTGACACTAGCAATGTTTTGTGAATGCTTTTCATTTAATAATATCTATGGTTAATTCACAGTCATGCTCTATCTATATTCTCTGAATATAACATTTTGTGCCTTTCTGATCTGCCTTGACCACCATGTGCATTTGACTGTGCATTTGCCATAACGATTGGTCCTACAATCACGTTTTGCCAAAGTAAACACCAGTCTCTGAAGAAAACAATAGTTACAGAAAGATCCCAAGTTCAATCTTTCACATCATTACTAAAAAGGGTTACAAAACTCAACAGATATCTGAATCCTGCTTGCCAAATAGATAACAATGGACTGAAGAGACCTACATCTATCTGATTCAGCAGAAGCCGGTTTCATATGATGTTTCTCCAGATTAAAAAAAAAGGTCTTTTATCCCTTCCAATGGATGGTTCAGGCCTCATTTGATTTCAAAGGATCAGCCAAAAAGAAATCAAATAAAATATCAGTTTACTTGTGAGTCCTGCTAAATAATACCAATGGGACTTCCATACAGGATAAGATATTCAGGATTGGAGACGATTAGTCTAGCAAGATATCTGTAATTGAAACCTATTTTTTCAGTTAAAAGGCAGTATTCTGGTTCTTATGTAAACCTTTACTGATGAAGTCGTTTCTGTAGAAGGTGTATATTCCCCTATAAGGTTATAAATCGGGTATGGGCAAACCCAAGCCTGGGGCCCAGATGCGGTCCCTTGGGCACTTTTTTTCAGGCCCTCCTATCTCTCACCATCCTATCCTTCCTTTGTTCTCTCTTTCTTTCCTCCTTCTCTCCCTCCCTTACTTACTTCCCTCTTTCTCCCTCCTTCTTTCCCTTCCATCCTTTTGTCCTTCCTTCCTTCCTTCCTTCCTTCCTTCCTTCCTTCCTTCCTTCCTTCCTTCCTTCCTTCCTTCCTTCCTTCTCTTTCCTCCCTCCCTCCCTCCCTCCAACCACTTCCCTCCATTCCCTTCCACCCTTTCTTCCTTTCATCCTTTACTTCTTCCATTCCTTTCTTCCTTCTCTCTTTCTTCCTCCTTGGGATGTTTAGCTGGGAGAAGAGAAGGTAGAGAGAGAACACGAGAACTATGTTTCAAGATTTGAAAGGGTGCCCCATTGAGGAGGAGGGGGTGTGTGTGATTTTCTGCTGCTCTAGAGACCAGAGCACAAGGGAGCAATGGGTTCAAATGGCAGGGAAAGAGATTCAACTGAAAAGATTAGGAAGAGCTGTTGGAGAGTGGCATAGAGTGCCTCAGAGTGTGATGGAGTCTCCTTCTCTGGAGGCTTTTCCGCAGAGGCTGTCTATTGGGAGTGCTTTGATTGTGTCTTCTTGCACAGCAGGGGGTTGGACTGGATGGCCCTTGGGGGTCTCTTCCAGCTCTAGGATTCTAGGATTATATATCAGAAGTAGGCGATACGGGGTGTAAAGGATACACTTTTCTCTCCTGTCTACCATCTCATCCTGATCAAGACCAACCCTTTGGGGTTTCAAATGTTTCCCATCTTTCCTTCACTTTCTGCATCCAAAAGAGAAAAGAGAATGGGAGGAAAGGGCAGGGATGCGACTTGGGGGGAACCCCCTCCCTTCCAGCCTACCTACCCCACTGCGGCCCTCAAGTTAGAAAGTTTGCACATGCCTGGAATAAATCAATATTGCCTTTGATCCTTTTTTAATCTGTGTGGTTTGAAATACACTTTTCTCCAGGATGGTTAACCAAACTGTGCTACATACCCTCCAACATTGCACAGATGAAAATTAGAAGACATGGAACCAAACAGTATCACATTGTGGCCAAGATGGCAACAAATATTAATGAGGAGAAACACAAAACTAGGAAGGCTGTAGCACTTTGCTTTTGCCCAAGTTTATTGGGAAGGCAACATTCCATCTTCTTCTTCCCACTCCTTCCTGATGAGCTAATTGAATGCATATTACTTTCACATTTTAAACTCAGTTTGCAGTAGTTGAAGTAAGATGAGGACAATGTGAGAAAGTCGGGGGGGGGGGGAGAGAGAAAGCCTGATATGTTTTTTAAATGCTGAAAAACTGGATTAATAACAAGTGTCCCTGCAAAATTGGGACAATTGGAGAGTGTTAGCATGTATGCTACAAATGCTTGCTACACGTAACTTTTGGCATATGATGATGTTGCAGTTCCCCATCATGGTCTGTATAGCCATTGTCTTATCTTCTATATCAATTAGATCTTCTGGTCCTCATATTTTTTAAACCTCTCTCATTTCGTCTATGGATACAGCTCATCCATTTTTAAAGCTCCTTCTTACTTTCTATAGTTATTTCTGTCAGCTTTGTTTTCCTCCCCTTAGAAATTTGACAAACTGCTTTTATCTCTTTGCTGATAACTTGGATTCATGATGGATGGAGGAGCTGTAGTGCAAGAAATAAGTGGCTCAAGTGATGTCAAACCTCATTAATTCTACAGTGGGGATCAGAGGTTTCCAACCTTTTTTTTTTTTTTTTTGAATAGGGACCACTTAACCAGGAACCAGTTTTACCAGGGACCGCACTCCAACATTAGTACCAGGTTATGAATAAATGTTTGGTCAGCTTTAGATCTGGTTTGGTTATTTGAGATGCTGATTCATAAAATTGCATTGAATATACACATTGAATATACCACATCAGCTCTAGTTTCTGATACACCATCCAGTGGTCACCATCTGCTCGCCTACAGAAAATTGTATTTAATAAACTAGAGCTGATGTGGTCTATCCAATGCAATTTTCTGAATCAGCAACCCCAAATAACCCCAGGAACAGGCCTCAAAATGAAGACGCCAAGGTGCCCCGCTTCCAGGCATCACATGGAACGGTTCCGCTCAGGGGGAGGGAGGAGGAGAGAAGCAACAGTCAGGAGGCTTGCTGTCACATCTTTTGGGGGTAGTCAGCCTCTCCCCTCCTGACATCCCTATTGCCTTGGCACTATAAGAGGGTTTCGTGAGACCAGTTGCTCTCATTGCAACAGTGTAGTAATGGTGAAGCCACAAACCATATTTTAGTTCTTGGGGACCACTGGTGGTCCATGGACCACAGGTTGGGAACCACTGGTGTGGATGCACCCAGAGTTTAATGACTCACCAAACTACAGTCATGGCATTTAAAGTGAAATCATTGTGCATTACAAGTGATGGTTGCAGAGGGTGTTTGGAATTACCCTCTGGAGGTTATATAGATTCCTGTGGTTGGAGGTTATCTTCACCCAGTTTATGGTTCCTGGTTAGCAACTTTTCTGCAAGAGCTTCGTTTTTTACTGACCTCTTTGATTCTTATTGTTTCCTAGAAAGGTAGAAAGCCATTTCTTCTGGCGGCTGAATGGGGCCACGTAGAAATGGTAAATGAGCTGATTTCTCTTAATTTATCCACCACGCAAAAGGACAAAGTAAGTTTATTACAACAATTGCAATAAAAGCTTCTTATTCAGCTTTTTAGTAAATGAATCTTCAGCTCTAAACTGTACACTTAGCTATGTTTCTAATCACTGTAAAAATATATGGTGTGAATTATGGCAATGAAGACAATGAAAAAGAATGTTCAGTGCTTTATTTCACTTTGGTGTTCTGCATATACAGATTGTGTAGTTTTAGGATATTTATCAGCATCCCCATTAAGAATTCCATATAGCGGCTTCGCCTCATTAGAAATTAACGTATTTATTTAAGATTACATAAAAACAACATTATCATCATAATATGAAACTATCTTACTCATTGTTAGCGCTTTATTAAAATATTAGATATTTTATTTGTATCCCAACTTTGGGATGTTTACATATGGAGAAAATACATTTTATCCTGCACAGGGGAGAAAAGCCACTTTTATTCATCATGACATGATTTAGATCCAAAGAAAAGCAGAGAGGAAAAACAAATGGTTGGAAACTACTATCTTCCAATTCCCAACCTGGTTACTTGTGTACATCTGAATGGCACAATGGCTGAGCAACGGCTCCCCACTTCTTCCCTTGTTAAGATTATTTTGCTCACTTAATTAAACATTATAATATTCCTATTTATGCCCAGATTTCAACGTAGAATCTTAAAGTTGGTCTTTGTCTCAAGAATGTTTGGAAGTCATAATTTCTGTGTGTCTTCTTATAGGATGGAAATACTGCATTGCACCTGGCGGCTAAAAATGGCCACCATGAAGTGGCAGAAGTTCTCCTTGATCAGTGGGAAGAAATAAATGAGTTCAATGAGGTAAAAAAAAGGACAAACATACCATCTAATATTTTTCAATTGAGAAAGTGGAATGATAGGTGATTAACTGGGACTGTCCCTGCTAAAGCAAGACAGTCAGAAGTATAAGTATATAGAATAACAGAAATAATTAAGATACAAAACAGATGAAGTGCATAAAGCATAACTAGCTTGGGCATTGTGTTGTTGAAGGCTCTCATGGCTGGAATCACTAGGTTGCTGTGAGTTTTCCGGGCTGTATGACCATGTTCCAGAGGCAAATTCTCCTGTCGTTTTGCCCATGTGGGCGAAACATTAGGAAAGAATGTCTCTGGAACATGGCCATATGGCCCGGAAAACTCACAGCAACCCAGTAACTTGGACATTCCTTCTGAAGTTCTGGCCACTTGTTGAGACTACATGCCAGTCATCTTGTTTTGGATCTCCCAAATTGACCCGCTGTGATGAGGGTAGTATACTAAAAAAATGGGCAAAGTACAGATGATAATCCAGTTTGCTTTCATAATTTCACAAGATGAAGGTCTCATTTTGTCCATTACTTACCAAATCAAAGATGTTTGGACTGACCTTGGTGAGGATAATAACACAAAATTGCCAGATATGCATTGCTCGGTAGTTAAAAATCTACACTTCCTTGCTTCTGTTTATGGAACTCAGAATTGCATATATAGGGATCCTGGCTTTGCCCATGTGTTATCAATGCAGTGATCAGTGGAAGTCTTGCCTGTTGGTCAGTTGGTAACCAAAGGAGAGAACTGCCAGAAAGAAAAAGTGGCAATTTTGTAGATTAGTTTGTGTGAGTCAATTCCATCAAAATAATAATAATATTAATAACAAATTTGCAAATTACATTCTGTACCTTGCATACCTGCACACCTTGCGGTTTAGGTTATTTATCTTAATTCAACAGCTGGGTAGAAAAAGGTAATTATTGTTTCCGTCACTTTGAAAAGTTTTTTGTTCTCTAAAGGAATTGTTCATTGCCACTGGAAATTATTCAAGTGCCTGCCTCGAAGCCTGGTGATAACTCTATTTTAATGTTAGGTGTATTTTTTTCCTTATTGTGCTGTTTCAGGAAGGTGAAACACCTTTTTATCTGGCTGTGGCAGGAGGCCATGAAAAATGTGCTGATCTCTTACTGGAAGCAGGAAGTGATATCAATATCTCAAACAAGGTACATTGATATGCTTGATGTTCTTTAATTCACTGAGATAATATTTTTCAGCCAATTTAAGTGAAATCAGGTAATGAGCTAAATCATGACATGCAATGGCTCATTGTTTACAGCAAAGATGGACAGTTGGGGTCCTCCAGATGTTTCTGGACTACAATTTCCATCATCTATCAGCACTGGTTATGTTAGCTTGGTGGTTCTCAAACTGAGGGCCCCCAGATGTTTTGGCCTTCAAATCCCAGAAATCCTAACAGCTGGTAAACTGGCTGGGAATTCTGGGAGTTGTAGGCCAAAATATCTGGGGACCCACAGGTTGAGAACCACTGTTAGATAGTTCTGCTGGGAGTTGTTTTCCAACAATATCTAAAGGGCCTTGTCTATTCCAGAGCCTCTGAACTATGGCAATTAGAATGCCAAACCAGGGGTGCATCTACATTGCCCAAATAATGCAGCTTGATACCAGTTTAACTGCCATGGCTCATGGGATCATGGGAGTTGTAGGTTTAAAAGTAAACATCCTACCAAAATCCCACCCACATTGTCCTCAGCAGTATACCCTTCAGCATATTCCAAATGCCTGATGGCACAGAAGTGTCTTTAACTATCTGTGAAAGGCAAGCAGAGATGGGGCCATCCTGGTCTCTCCTGGGAGGGAGTTCAAAAGTTTGGGAGCAGCCACCAAAAAGGCCATCTCCCATGTTCTCAGCAAATGCACTTGAGTGAGTGGTGGGACAGAGAAAAACCCTCCCCAGATGATCATAAGATTCTGACAGGTTTGGAGAGAGAGAGGGGGGGGGGGTATTTCAAATACCATGGACTGAAACCATATAAAACCCGCACTTTGAATTGTGCCTGGAAACAGGTTGGCAGCTAATGGAGCTGTTATAACAGGGGGATTGTCCCAATTAGAAACCTGACTGCTGCTCTTTGGTCCCAGCTGAAGTTTCTGAACACTTTTCAAAGGCAGCTCCACATAGAGTGCATTACAGTAGTCCAACCATAATAATAATAATAATAATAATAATAATAATAATAATAATAATAATAATAGGTTGTTGTAGGTTTTTCGGGCTGTATGGCCATGTTCTAGAAGCATTCTCTCCTGGCATTTCACCTGCATCTGTGGCAGGCATCCTCAGAGGTTGTGAGGTCTGAGGATGCCTGCCATAGATGCAGGTGAAATGTCAGGAGAGAATGCTTCTAGAACATGGCCATATAGCCTGAAAAACCTACAACAACCCAGTGATTCCAGCCATGAAAGCCTTCGACAATACAACAACAACAACAACAATCAATGCTTGGGAAGTGCTCGACTTGTGATTTTGTGATACGAAATCCAGCATATATATCTCGTTTGCTGTGTCATACTGTGTTTTTTGTGTCAGTAAAATAATAATAATAATAATAATAATAATTGTAGACCATCCTCTCTCCCTGAAGGGACTCAGGTTGTTTCCAGCATATATGGCAAACATTCAGTGCCAACAAGGAAAAACATATAAACAAATTTCATCAAAATAGATCACATCAAGCAATATATAAGCGGCCTAACTTTGAACTTAACAACAGACAAAAATAGCCAAATATAAACACTTAAAAATAACCCATGCAGACATAAATGCATAGTATAAATTTTTCATTGGGTAAAACATCTAAGAACGAATAACTAAAACTTTATGGATAGAAGAGGTGATTTGTAGCAACAACAAGCCGAAATCAATTCCAGTATCTAGACAAGATTTAACATATCTAGGTGAGGATGTAAGTTGAGATGTGTTAGTCTTCCTCCTCTCCATGCGGCAGGGAGCATAGATGGGTTTTTAGCAACTTCTCTGAAACTAGAAGTGCGTGCAGAATGGCTCCCAGCCTCGTGGTTCTTCATGTTTCTGAAGCATGTACCACCATGACAAGATCTGACTTCTCCAGAAACAGGCACAGTTGGCTTTAACTGTGCAAAAGCATTCCTGCTCTCCTCATACCTGGGCCTCTAGGTTCAGAGCCAAATCCAGAGTACTCCCAAACTGCAAATCTGCATTTTCAGGGGGAGTGTAACTCCATCTAACACAGGCTGACTCCCCATTCCCAGATCTTCTTTCTGACTAACAAGGAGTATCTCTGTCTTCTCTGAATTAAGCTTCAATTTGTTTGCGCACATCCAGTCCATTACAGCTGCCACCCACCGGTTTAGTTCAGGAACAGCTTCCTTGGAATTAGGTGGAAAGAGTTGGGTGTCATCTGCATATAGGCCTTATAGAACTACAAGGATTCCATTGTGCCATGGGGTCAAACTACATTAATTGTGCAGTGTAGATGCACCCATTGCTAAGTGGATGAACTCACTTTTTTATATGGAAGATGATGGGCTCATCCTCTACCTCCCACCTTTCACTGTAATAATATTCTCATTTTTTGTGATTAAAAAGGGTCCTGACTTTCTATTTCTCATCATGTGATAGTTCAAGAAAACTCATCATGATTGATACCTTCTTGGCAGATGCTAAAAGGAATTTTTTATTCTAGTAAAGTTTTAAAAGCATGTAAATTAGAATGTTTCATTATTTGCTAATGGTGCTTCTTGGCTAAAACATTTCATTGTCTAACTTAAATCAATGGAATAGCTGCCAGGAAAAATAGCCATGACTGTCATTCTTGGAAACTTTGTTTTCCAGCATGTCATGTCATAAGCAGTATAGTCCTTTGCATTTTAAATCAGACTTGCAACGCTGTTCATTCTCTGCAAAGAGATTCTATGCTAGAAGAGACTCAGACCCCTTCTACACTGCTCTATATTCCAGGATGTGATCCTATATTATCTGCTTTAAACTGGATTATATGAGTCTCCACTGCTAGATTACCAATGGTGAGAAGATAATCTGGGATCAGATCCTGGGATTTAGGGGCAGTGTAGAAGGGGCCTCAGTGTGGTGCAGTGGATGGAGCATTGAACTAGGATTTTGAGATCAGGGTTCAAATTCCCACTTAGCCATGGAAATCCATTGGATGACTTTGGGCATACTCTCAGCCTCAGAGGAACGTAGTGGCAAACCTCCTCTGAAGAAATGCCAAGAAACCCTGTAATGGAATCACTATGTCAGAGTCATGATGAAGGCATGGAACAACCACTATAGTTTACATTTGGGGATCATGATGATAGAAACCTTTATTCCTCAAAATGAAAACAAGTGGATTGCTGTAAGTTTTTTGGGTTGTATGGCTATGTTCCAGAAGCATTCTCTCCTGATGTTTTGCCATAGATGCAGGCGAAATGTCAGAAGAGAATGCTTCTGGAACATGGCCATATAGTCCAAAAAACTTTCAGCAATCCAATGATTTTGGCCATGAAAGCCTTCAACACCACATTGAAAACAAGCTGTATGTTCGCATACTCTCTGATCATATATTCACTTTGCACACATCTCCAGTTTTAGTAAAGATATATGGGATCTTAAATTATAGTTGACCTTTCATATCTGTGGAGGATTGAATTTGCTGTGGATTCCAAAATCTGCAGCTTCTCAGATTATGTTATATACACTGGTGTGGAGAATCAATTGTACGGTTTACCTGGGCCGAGCTTTAGCACAGCTAGTTAATCACCAGCAGCAATAGATTACACCAATAGAAAGGTTGGTCGTTCGAAGCCCGGGTCGGGGTGAGCATCCGACCTTCAGGCCAGCTCACTATCCACCTAAGCAGTTCGAAAACAGCTGTGAGTAGATAAATTAGGCACTGCTTAAGCGGGGAAGTATTTTACGACACCATAAAAAAGAAATACCAGAAAAATGCCGGCAATTAGAGGAAGGAGGAAGTTTGTGATCAAGGGCTCTTCATAGAGGATGGAGCGACAGCACTCCCCTCTGGCCAGAATCGAGCACAACCTCCAGGATGCCGAAGTTGGGGAAAATGCTGACATATACCTCCATCTATTGTCTGTCCTGTCTGTTTAATGGCATTGAATGTTTGCCGTGTATGTGTTCTGTTTCCTGCCCTGAGTTCATTCGGAGTGAGAAGAACGGAATATAAATACTGTAAATAAAATATATAAAATAAATACCTTTTAGATAGAATGGACAACTGTGATTTAAAATACATTTCCCTCTCTCCATTGTCTTTTTTCTAGCACAATACAAATGCATTACACATCGCAACCCAGAATGGACATACATCTTTGGTCACTTATCTTACAAGTAAAAATATAAATTTGGAGGCTCAACCTGAGGTGAGTTCTTTCCCCCCACTAATTTCATGGACTTTCACTGCTGGTAACTGAAATTAGCCTAATTCAGGACATAAAAGAAGAACCACGGTTAATAAATAATGAGAAGAAAGACATTAAATCCAGGCATTTCAATGTCGGTGGAAGAATGTTAAGCATCTGCCTGGTTGTTTTACAGAAATCAATGAATGTTAAATGTTATTTATTCTGGCAAGATCATGCCTATTGGCTTCAACTTTTTCAAACATTGTTATCCTTGTCATTTTCACCACCACCATCATCATAATTCCAGCTTTTTCCAGTGTGTAACTCAAGGTGACTCACCACAGTTAGAACAAATAGGGAGAAATTCACACCCTACAAAAGTGAAAAATCAATTAAGCTATAAAATATTGGTTAAAAATAGAAACCATTAAAAACAACAACATATAAAAGTCCACTACATTATACAAACCTATTACTCTTTTAAAAAAATTATCAAAGACCATCAGATATAGAAAGGCTTTCCCCTGCATCTGGTTAGGGAGTTCCAGAACTGGAAGCAGAACAAAGCAGGTCCATGTTGTCACCAGGTGCATCTGCAAAGGTGGAAGGACAAAGAGAGGGCCTTCCCCAAAAGATCTCAAAACACAAGAAGGTTTGTAAGGGAGAATGTGGTCCTTCAAATAGCCTGGACCTGAGCTTCATAGGGCTCAGTAATAGTATCCCTTATTTTGAAATGTATTCCTTGATTTTATTTATTTTGTAGCAAAAGCAGTGCATAAATAAACAAGTATAAAACTGATAAAATAGAGGGAACGCAAGCGGCTAAATAATTTTAGACCAAACACGGGAAACGGCAACCACATTGTCTGTAGCTTTAAACAGCTCTTCCTCTGGTTTTTTTTTTCATGTCAGAAGCGACTTGAGGAACTGCAAGTCACTTCTGGTGTGAGAGAATTGGCTGTCTGCAAGGATGTTGCTGAGGGGATGCCGGGGATGTTTTACAATCCTATGGGAGGCATCTCCCATGTCCTTGCATGAGAAGCTGGAGCTGACAGATGGGAGCTCACCCCCTTTGGGTCAGCAGTCCTCCTGCCGGCACAAGGGTAAACTCATCTGTGAATGAGGCAGGGCATTGTGGACAAGCATGCAGGTGCCGAGTTGTTTGTTCTGCTCCATAGTCGCACAAGGTGGAGGATTCTTCTAGGTAGTGCCATTTTGCCAGATTGTCTTTTGATCTGCCTACTCCATTTCTGAAAGGGCAAACAAATTTTAAAAATATTTACCCGGCCACCATTAAAGTGCTTCTAGCCCTCTCCTGGTGCATAGAAATGACGTGCCAGGAGAGGGGGGTTGTAGAGGAAAATTGTTCCATGCTCCTTTCTCCTTGCACTTCATTTCTACATGCCAAGAGAGGGCTGGCAACACTTTAATGGTAGCCAGGTAAGTTATTATTTTATTTTTTTACCCTTTTTTTTTGGGGGGGGGGGTGTTTGAGTGCCCTGCTGGAAGATCCGGCAGGGCATCTAGATACCCCCCCCCCCAAAGCGTGGGTTTTGGGGGAAGATATGTGGACTTTAACACACGCCTAGTCAGATTTCTTAAAGGGGTGTGGGTCTTAGTCTGTTTAACAAGCTAAGACGAACACAGGTCAAGCAAACTTGTATAGTATCCCATGCATGGGACAATTGTGTGCAGGATTACAGCCGAAAACCGTAGCTTGAAGATTCACATAATTTATGATGCACTAGGAATTTTCATAGAAAAGTGATACTCTTTTAAAAGAAAAAAAATATGCTACAATCTTTTTTTCTCAGAATAAATTGTATGTGGTAAATTAACATGTTTGTGGGAGAGAGGAGTTTAATATCCTCACATATTTGGAGCAGAGACCATATGCAAGCTAATCTGCATTGAATATTACTTTGCTGGTATCATCCAAGTAACATATTTTGTTGACTATTAAAATATTTTTGTCACATTTTAAAATCTTTGCCAACCATGAAGTATAATGTTGTTTATGCTATTTCTCCCTAGCTGTTAATGATAGATAAGGCTCATCCCAGTTCATTTCAACAGACAGAATCTACGATTGCTTCTAATAGTGTCATGCTGTATATATGGCTAAGATGGAAAAAAGTGCAAAAAGAAATTCATTTGAGGAGTTGCTCTGGTAATGTTTCACAAAGAAGTAAAGGCTGAGAATATAAATGCCTCCTTGATGTTATACCCTAACTCGTGTTTTTCAAGTTTCAGACTGTATCAAACTGTACAAGTCTATAATTTTCTATTTTTCTCATTGTGCATCTTGTTCTTTATCATATTTGCATTCTGAAAGGAAGAAACCATGATAATGAACAAAATCTGGCTATCAGTATTAAAAAGCTCTAAAAAACAACTCTAAAAAAACAGGGGAATTCCAGACAAAAATCAATCAGGGCCTGCTAACATCTCCCAACAAAGGATCCCCCAAGCAGCAACCAGTCAGGTATTGTAGTTACAAGGCCACTGAATTCTAATCAAGGTGGCCAATTGCAACATTCACACTTGCCACAAACAGACAAGAGTTCTTTCTCCCACCCTCGACATTCCACAGATAAACCCCACTTGCCTAGTTTCCAACAAACCTCACAACCTCTGAGGATGCCTGCCATAGATGTGGGTGAAACATCAGAAGAGAATGCTTCTGGAATGTGGCCATACAGCCTGGAAAACTCACAGCAACCCAGTGATTCTGGCCATAAAATCCTTCCACAACACAGTACTTGGAATAACTGTTTTAATTTTTCTTCTGTTTGCAGCAAAAGAATTCTCCTCTCCATTTGGCCATCATAAAAAACAGCTTATCCGTGGTGAATAATTTAATAGACGTCGGCCATGACATAAACTCTCTCAACCAGGTGAGCAATTGTCCTTAGAGACGTATAGTTTTAAGATGGAAGATTATTTCTATTTCTATTTCTATCTTTTCTCCTCCTTCTCTTTAGCATATTGAATTGTTAATACCAACTAGAGTAATTTCATTGAATCAAAGAGATAAATCAACACTCATGTCAATTCTGTTGATTCTGCTTGTGGACAAATAATTGCTCTTAAACTTATATGTTGGGGAATCCGAGCTGTTAGGCTCAAAAATAACCCTCAGTTGGGGTGATTCCACCATAAATATATTAGAGTACCACAAGTAAACTTCATAGCCAGCAGAAATTTACATGTGGTGAACTGAGATAGGCTTCTATTCTTCTGGATGGCTTAGAATTACAAAGTCAGAACTTTAGATTCAAAAATTTAGTTGAAGTAAAATACATTATTGATAGAAAAGTTTGTGAAGCTAACTAGCTCACTAAGTCTCCCCGCCTATCTTTGCAATCGTCTCTCCCTCTATAAACTGGCGCAAACTTTATGATCTTCTGGGGAGGCCCTCTTTTTGCTCCCACCGCCATTACAAGCACAGTTGGTGGGGATGGGAGAGAGCGCCTTCTTGGTGGTGGCCCCCCACCTCTGGAACACCTTTTCTAGAGAAATAAGACAGGCCCCATCCCTCCCCTCCTTTTGTAAGAGCCTGAAGACCTTGTGGTTTAAACAAACCTTTGAGAATGACTAGTTCTAGCTCAGCCTCAGATACTGTTGAATATGGCCATATCTTTTTCTACCAATTACCCAGGTTACTCCCTCCTATAAGGCCCCGGAAATGAACAGCCATAGACTTTGCCTATTATTGTTGTTGCCTGATATAGCATTGCACCTAATTTCCCGGGCCCTTTACAAATTGCACTAGCCTTGGCTTGGCCTTTTAAATTGCCTTGAACAGGCAGGATTATTTTAAATATATATGTGCTGTTGTGATTTTTTATGCTTACATTGTCTTGTTAATTTTATGTTTATGTTGTTTACTTTGTATGTATTGATGATGTTACTTGGAAACCGCTCTGAGTCCCCATGGGGAGATAGAACAGTATATAAATAAAGTTTTGTTTTTGTTCTAAAGGAGACAAAAGGTAAAAAAATCCATGCAGCTACATTTTGCCTAGAGAGGCAAAATGTGTCTTTACTGGAAGGAAGAAAAGGCAAAAGAGACTGGAAAATGGTGGAGAAACCACATGGTCAACTCAGGGCAGTTTCAAACTTAAAGAGGAAGTTCCCTCAGAGAATTCCACGTCACCAAAGGGGGAGGAGAGAGTGGCTAGCAGTGAAGCGGAAAGACAAAGAGCTATAGGGAAACATGCATAGGAATGTGGGGGAAGGAGTCCCTCAGCTTAGCCCTGTCTCTGGCTTAGCTACTCATCGAGGACTGGAAACTTGATGACACAAAAGATTTGTGCAGTCCAGGGATTAAACCCAACCCTACTAAAGATAAGATGTGGAAATTATCATTTTCTTGGTGTGTTTCAAGTTAGACCTGTTTCCTTAGTTTACAGTAATGTTACCAAACAAAACTATTGGATTTCACCACACTTGCAGGTTTTAATACCTTAGTTCAGGGCTTCTTTAACCTTTTCCTCTCGCTACACTTTCTGCCTGAGAAATGTTTTTGTGACTCCGGGTATATAGGTATATACAATAGGTCTAAAATCAGGCATATACTGATAATAAGCCAGCATTTGCAAGGCTTGCTAAACAGGCTGATTTTTCTTTTCATTGAGTCCAGCTGAAGCATTTTCTGCATAGACCACTTTAAGCACTACACATTGTTGCTAACAGATTCTTGTAAACAGGCGGTGATCAGAAACCGTTTACTGTTGCAAAATTCTTTGTGACCCCAAGATTGATCAAATCTGCATTGTCCAAGGTGTTTTTGGCCAAAATCACTGGGTTGCTGTGAGTATTCCTGGCTGTATGGCCATGCCTTCCTTCAACAGAAAGGAGGAAACTATGAAAATTAACAAAATCTGGCTACCAGTATTTTTTTAAAAAACTCAAAAATCAGGACAGTAGATAAATAACAACAATCAGAAAACAGTGGAATTCCAGACAGGAAACCAAGCTAACACTTCCCAATAAAGTATTCCCTTGGGCAGGAAGCAGCAAGGCATTGAAGCTGCAAGGCTATTCAATGCTAATCAAGGTGGCCAGTTGCAACATTCACACTTGCCTCAAACAGACAAGAGTTCTTTCTCTCACCCTGGTCATTCCACAGATATATAAACTCCACTTGCCTGGTTTTCAACAGACCTCAGAACCTCTGAGAATGCCTGCCATAGATGTGGGCAAAACTTCAGGAGAAAATGCTTCTGGAACATGGCCATACAGCTGGAAAACTCACAGCAACCCATTGATCAAATCTGTCTGGAGCAAGGATTAACAACCTGCGCTGTAGCTCCCAGAACACAGACTCCCTCTGCTCCAATCTCCAATACTCCCCTCCCCATCAATGCTCAAAAACTATATTGCTCTTTTATTTTCTTACATAGTAGTTTCTGCTTTACTGTTGCTAATGGTGGTAGTAAAGCAACAGTCACAGCCACCATTAGCCTTCTTTCTTCCCCCAGCAGCCCTGGACCTTTCCAGATTGCTGTTTTATCATAAGTGATGGGGACGATAAAACTTTGATCAGGGTCACTGGGGAGGAATAACCTCTCTCCAAAGTGACTCAGAATCAATTAGCATTGCTTCTTCTATCTTGCCTCTGGGGGAAAAAGTAAGGCAGCGATCTACATTGGGTCATGTCAGGATTGCAGAGACTAAAGCTAACAATGGTAATATGATGGAGCAAAACAAGTGGCTGCTGAATGAAAGTGGATAGAACCATTGCAAATGTTGTCATCCTAAGCAGACTTCCATAATGATAGCATTGTACTTGTTCAACCCCAGTGTTTTCTGGCAGAAGACATTACATAACAAACTAGGCTTCTCCAACCTGATGCTTTCCATATGTGATGAACAGGACATGTGCGCCTGCCTAGCTGTTTGCTTGCGGACGTGATGAACCAGTTCCCAGGGACTGAATAATGCAGTTTATTGGACAGGGAGAGAACAAGAGAGGAATATATCATTGAAATGATAGGCCTCTTACATGCAGAGCCTCTCCACACCCTTCTGTTAGTTGATCATTGCATGAAATGAAGCGAGGCGTTTCTGCTATGAGGAATTTAACTCATAGGTGCTGGATGATGGCTCTCTCCAGTTTGATTTCTGCAAGTGGCATTCTTCCACTTCACTTTGTAACAGCAGCAAGTCAAGTGCAATTGCCATCTGTAATCATGGTTAACATAAATATGCTTCACCCAGGACAGCAATGAAGCTCTTTTGGAGCAAACCTTATTGAGGAAAGACAGTCTCCTATGTTTTCAAGTGTAAACACTAAACACGTTACATAACACAGATTATGCAGAGATGCAAGTTATTTTCCTCTGTATGGTAGAGGAGAAATGTTTGAAATAATAGATAGTGGCTTGAACCCAGCATCTTTCCTTAAGGCAAGGGAAGAATTATATCCATTCACATAGATATTCCAATCTAGAGTGGAATATTTTAGAGCAAAACAGGATAGGAAAAAATATTGATTCCCTCTGGTCTTCTGAAAAGTTGCTCTGGGCATTCCACCTAACGGCAAGAGCTGTTCAGCAGTGGAACTCTCTGCCCTGGGAGTGTGGTGGAGACTCCTTCTTTGGAGGCTTTTAAGCAGAGGCTGGATGGCCATCTGTTGGGAGTGCTTTGAAAACAATTTTCCTGCTTCTTGGCAGGACTGGATGGCCCATGAGGTCTCTTCCAATTCTATGATTCTATGGGCAGTAAAAAAGATGATGGTGATCATCATCTTTATACCTTGCTTTTTTGCCAACCAACAATCAAAACAAGTACAATATGTTTATTCACAAGAGAAAATAAATAAAATGGAATCAAGCAATTGCCAAGATTTGTTTGATGTATTTCCTGAAGCTGGTATTGGAAGGGTGTCAGCACTGGTGTAAGAACTGAACGTTGGACTATTGCCCTGTAGAACAAGATTTGAATCCCCACTCAGCCATGGCAACCCACCGACTAACCTTTGGCAAGTCACACACTCTCAGCCACAGAGGAAGGTAATGGCAAAACTCCTCTAAAAAAATCTTGCCAAGAAAACCCTATGATAAGATCATCATAAGTCAAAAAAGTCACACAATAACCATAAGAACAGTTAAGCAGTAATGTGTTGTCGAAGGCTTTCGTGGCCAGAATCACTGGGTTGTGGTGAATTTTCTGGGTTGTATGGCCATGTTCCAGACACATCCTCTCCTGGTGTTTTGCCCACATTTATGTCAGGCATTCTCAGAGAAATTGCACTGTTTAGCCGGTATTACACCACCTGACATCCACTGGGAAGTAGCAGCTAATAATGAAAGGACCAAGGCAGTGACATCTCTGGCCCATCCTCTGTTCAAATATCAGCCAGCACACCAATGTCTTAAATCAAGAAATAGCTTTCTAAGATCTACAGAGATACTCACAGGAATACCTCAGCAAGCGGGAGTCCAAAAGTGGCAGGCTAAAACACAAAACCTCAAGCCATGACTGAATGAGAGATTCCCTCCTGGGCACACAGAAGACTGGGCGACTTGGAAGGTGCTAAACAGACTGTGCTCTGGCAGAGCCAACCTTAAGAAATGGGGCCACAAAGTGGAGTCCATGACATGTGAGTGTGGAGAAGAGCAAACCACAGACTACATATTACAATGCAGCCTGAGCCCTGCCACATGCACAATGGAGGATCTTCTTACAGTGACACCAGAAGCACTCAAAGAATATTTAGTATAATACCAAGTTTTTAACTTTGTAGTTTTTCCATACATTATAAGTGTATCATCAATTCTCTTCTGACACTATCTATCTATCTATCTATCTATCTATCTATCTATCTGCAAACACATATATACACAATGGAGGATCTCTTTATAGCAATACTAGAGGCACTCCAAGTGGCCAGCTACTTGTCAAAGGATATTTAATATAATGCCATGTTTTTAAACTTTGTGTTTTTTAAATCCATTACAGCTGTACCCATGGTTTGCTTTTGATACAATAAATAAAATCCTCAGAGGTTGTGAGCTCTGTTGGAAACTAGGCAAGTGAGGTTTATATATCTGTGGAATATCTAGGGTGGGAGAAAGAACTCTTGTCTTGTCGCAGATATATAAACCTCACTAGCCTAGTTTCCAACTGGCCTCATAACCTCTCAGGATGCCTGTCATAGATGTGGGCAAAACGTCAGGGAAAATGTTTCTAGAACATGGACATAATGCCGGAAAACTCACAGCAACCCAGTTAAGCAGCAATTTGCAAAGTCACAATTAACGGTACAGTGCACTTTTAAAAGGCATTTCCCTAAGAACCTTCACTCCTGAAAATTCTGCTTCAATAACAACAACAACAACAACAACAACAACAACAACAACAACAACAACAACATCTTTGTCTGCTAATAGAAGGACAGCAAGTAGAGGGATATTATAGCCTCCTTAAGAAAGGATATCTTCCCAAATAAGGGATTTTTCTCAGTTCATGATAAGGGCTATGGGAGAGAGTAGCTGTATTATTGCTGCTGGATGAAACCCAACAATTACTGCTTACATTTTTTCTCTCTGATGATTATCCTTAAAAATAAATAATGTCTTTATTAATGGAGCCATTTTTTTCTTTTCTTCTATTACCACACCTTATTTCCACAAACAAGAGGCAACAATCACCATTACACTTGGCAGCAGACCTTGGAAATGTGGAAGTGATTGAAATGCTTCTCAAGAGAGGTTGTGACCTCAACATTGTGGACAAGGTACTTTCCACTGTTCATATTTCTGTGAAGATGTAGTTATTATCCTACATGTGTTGGTATTTTGGAACAAATTGCTCCTTTCAGAAATTCCTAATTTGAAATAATAGTCTCTTTCTTGAAACTTGCAGTCGCCTGGCATTGATTTAGTCAAATGATTGTCTGGAAGGTCAAAGCGTAAAATACAATGTTTGTTCTATTCATAAAACTGAATTTATATAAAGTAATCATTGTGCTTTGGGGGAAAAACTATTTGTTCTGACTCTTTTGGAGCCATTTCACAACCATGTTTGAGTTTTATCATTCAAACAGTGTTTGCTTTCTGCTGATATTGTTCTGAAATTATAGCAATTGTTGTTACACTGATCTTTTCCAGGTTACCAATGGTTTGTGCATGCCTCTCGGTTGCTTTGCATCTTATGGAGACCTCTGTGAATTTCCTAGGGTTTTCTTAGAGAAGGAAAACTCAGGCCCCATCTACATTGTCATCCAATCCAGTTTGAACTGCATTATAATGGGCAGTATACTCTCATATAATGCAGATTGAACCATACTGAAAGGAATTATATTAATCTACACTACCATAAAATACAGTTCAATGCAGTTAATTGTAGAATGACTTCAGTTTGACACCACTTTAACTATCATGGCTCAATGCCATGGATTGTTGGGAATAGAAATTTTTCAAGGTCTTCAGCTTTCCCTGTCAAATAATGCTAGTGCCTCAGCAAACTACAGCTCCCATGTTTCCATACCACTGAGCCATGGGAGTTAAAGTGTTGTCAAACTGTATTCATTCTACAGTGTACATGCACCCTCCATCTTTGCTCCTGTCTTGCTGTGCAGGTTCCAAATTGGGGTACATCTTGTCTTTATTTGCAAGGGGTGTGTTTCCCTCTCACTGCTTAAGCCCTCCTGGCACATGAAACCTTGGAAGAATTAACGCTGTGAGCAGCTGTTCCCAGTGTAAATCCACTGACATAAAAGGATTACAGAGGCAACCCAGTAAGTTGCAAACAACATGTGTGGCCATGAACTGTCAATACCAGGAATGTCCTTCCTTCCCAAAACAGCCAGTCTCTAACATAATGGAAATTGATTGCAATGCGGCACTATGAAACCAACAGCTGTAAACAGAGACTTATTTATTTACAAAGGTGTATCAATTAAAGCTCTTGGGGACAGCTAAAGATCTGAATTATACTGACTTGGGTTTGTAGTAAGCTTTATTTTTTCCAAGGAGGTTTTATTTTTGGCCTCCATCTATTGCTTTTTATAATCCTGCCACCCAAGCATGGGTATGTACACCTGCCGATCGAGATAACATTTTATATATTCAGTGAAGTCAGCGATTTTCACACACATTTTTGGACTGCTAGAGTGAAAACTAAGGGGTCATGGTGGGGTAGCAGGTTAAACCACTGAGCTGCGGAACTTGCTGACTGAAAGGTTGGCAGTCCAAATCCACGGAGTGGGGTAAGCTCCAATTTCTGCCAACCTAGCAGTTCGAAAACATGAAAATGTGATTAGATCAATAGGTACCACTTCAGCAGGAAGGTAATGGCACTCTAGGCAGTCATGCTGGCCACATGACCTAGGAGGTGTCTACGGACAACGACGGTTCTTCAGCTTAGAAATGGAGATAAACAGCCCCCCCCCCCGAGTTGGATATGACTAGACTTAATGTCAAGGGGAAACCTTTACCTTTACCTTTAGAGTGAAAACTGGAGAGGACTTTTACCTTTAATTGTTGTATGTTGATTGGTTACTAGTTGTGTGATGAACAACACTTGCACTTCTTGGCAGGGGGTAGGACTGGATGGTCTACGATGTCTCTTACAACTAAATGATTCTATGATTCTAACTTGCCTTTTCAATGCAACTGTTATAAACACATGGTCTCGCTCCCTTCTGGCAACCCTAAAACAACATTAAGATGGCCTTTGTTATTATTGCGTTGCCAGACTAATACCATGAGAATTTGTTGCATTTGAATTGGAGAAGATGCTCTTTATGATGAGTAAAGCCCAGTTTATGTTGCTATACTCACAGCTGCCAATGAGGATAGCATCCTTTTTCATTTTTAGAAGTGTGGAATACTTATTAAATCGAGCACTCAGCCCCCATTGGATTCTGCATGTCATGAAGAGATAGTAGTTCATAACCTTCAACATTTCACAGGTAAAACCGAGGACAGTGAATGTGATCAAGATTGTGGCAAAAATTATTAATATGGTATCTTGGAGAGGCTGCAGCAATTTAGTTTTGCCAGAGCCTACTTAGAAGGGCAAGACTTCTGCCCACTCATTGCCTCTCTCTGCTTGGTTAACTGAGTGCAAATTACGTTTGCAATACAAACTCAGTTTGTGTCAGTGAAAGTAAGCTGAGGACAACCGGGGAAGTATGAAACATAAACTGGGATGTACTGAAAGCACCTGAAAATGTAAGATGAGAGAGGATTAATTGGGTCTGTCCCTGTTAAATCAGTACAGTCAGAGAGTATGGTTGTTGCACATATAACTATAGATTTTGCTTATTACTGCTTCTGACTTATGGCCTACATTTCTTTGCCTGCTTCTGTTTGCATTTCAGCAAGGAAAGACAGCCTTAGCTGTAGCTGCCAGGAGCAATCTTGCCTTGATTGTTGATATGATCATAAAAGCAGAGCGGTATTACACCTGGAAACAGGTAAGAAGCAACCCAATTTGTTCACCATCTGTTGAGACAGATTTTTTTTGCAGTATGTGACCTCATGAATTGTATAGGATTTTCTTAGGCAAGGAATATTCAGAAGTGGCTCTGCCAGTTCCTTCCTCTGAAATATAGTATATGGCACCTGATATTATCAATGGTTTCCAATCAGAATTGATCCTGCTTAGCTTCCAAGATCAGTCAGGATCTGATGACTTTAGGATATTTAGGCAGACCTACATAAGTTGGTTGGAAGAAATAAAAACAGCTATCTGAGCTGTGTGGAAGAAGCTTAGGTAACAACATGCCAAAATATGCACATGATTCAGAGTAAGGGAGAGATTGAAGAATCCACCCTTTTGCTGCAGAGATGCCTAGGTTTTCATTCTGGATCCAGCATACCTGGGTCTCTTCTTTTTTTCCTAAGGGCTAAAACAGAGAGTGGAGGGAAGAGCAAGAAGAGAACTTAAGTACAGATCCAGCAGATAATAGTTTTAGAACTAAATACTTAAATAGTGTTCTGTCAGAGTGTGAAGTATATATTGAAGGCTTGGTCTGCAAAGTATTCCATATAGGGAAATGAAATTAAGAGGCATAGGAACAAGGAGGCCGTGTTCTGTACCCAAGAGGGTGGGTTAATTCTTGTCCAGATATCTATCTGAATGTGTTTACAACAGAAACTGCTTAATTAGGCAATGAACAGAAAACAGCTCCTGAAGAAAAAGTAACCTGGGTACATGAATAAAGTGAAAACAGTATTAGCTGGAAGAACCATCCGGCTATTACATGGATAGTTTGGAGTTATATGTTTCATCCCATCCAAATGAGCAGTTTTGTCCCATTCCCACATTCTCTGTCATTTGAAATTCCCATGTTTATTGATGTGAAGGAGCTGCAAAAGAAACATACATATAAGCATGATGTCAAAATGAAAATTTCAGACATTTGATACCCTGTATGAATTTCTTAACATTTATATTTGACGTCAAAATGCAGTCCTTTAATCTTAGGGTGCAGTGGACTTTCGTTTTCTCAATACTCCTTTTTTCCCACTGGAACTATGATGCTAGGAATTTTATTTTCAGTCCTACTGAACTGAGCTGACAAGTTTTTGTGCAGTTTCCACTTGATGTACACCAATTACCCTTTGCAAAAAAGAAAGAAGTGAAGTTACTACTAAATAGCTGGGAAGAAGAAACAGTTGCCATTCTACTTTAAATTGTCCAAGATCTGCTTCTAGATTTTGCCCACCCTTACTTACAAAAGGTTGCAAAGACTGCACCCTCGCTTATCGTTGGTTTCGTGCTCCATCATATGTCTAGTTATGGAACATAGTCTTTGGAAGATGAAGGCATCTCCCACTCTCAGGTCATTTCACACAGTTTTGGGCACAATCTAAATCTTATATATTCTATTGGACATACAGGCTGGAGATTCTGGAAGCTGTAATTCCAGAAAGTAAGTATGTTTCAAGCTCCAGTATTACTAAATGTCTTTCTTGCATACTTCCTGGAAACAAATGCTTTGGGTGGATAGTAATATTGGGGGGGGGGGGGGGGGGGGGGGTTGAAACCTAATAATAAAGCATGTCTGCATAATAAGTGCTAGAACAATTACTACTTTTGACTTAATTGGAGCCGGTCAATAATTATACATGCAATAAGAAAAAACATTTTGTATAGCAACTTTTTGATGGGCTGAAATCCAACATCCCCTCAATGTAGCCCAAATATCAGCAGCCAGAGCTGTGCTATGTGACCATTATACAACCTTCATGCTTAATAGCATGCAATACATTCAATGACTGAGTGCCATTGTGCAATGAACAATGTAGAATGAATGATGCACAATGCACAACTGCAGCGGACAACAGGAATTGCTATTGTAGTACGCAATGCTGCTATCTCTGCAGTTCTTCTTCTAATGCTGGTTGTTGAATGCAACCATTGTGCAAAGAGAATAATTTACTCTGCATGTGTAGTCTGACTTTCACATGTATGCCCCCATGAGATACTAGCTATGACGCGTTAGGAAGGCATTCCTCTCTGTAATAGAGATGGCCAGTGGCAGCACATCCAAGTTTCCTAACTATGAAGGCATTGAAAAGGTGGCAGAAATGGTTTTATTAAGACTGAAATAGGATATGAACTAATTTCAAGTGCTAATATTTACTCCACTGATATCATCATAGCGCCTCAGTTGTGGCATAAATTCATTCTGATTCTGCACACAACCAGGGCTACTATAGATCTGACATGGAAATAACCATCAGTACCTTATGACTACAGAAAGGACAAAATTAGATGTAGAACAAAGTCCCCTTCTCTAGGGGAGCTTTATCAGTAGAAACTTCGATTAACAAAGCCTCTAGCAAAGAAGCTCCTTTTTACAAAGTCTTTTTACACCCAGCCAGATTTCCTACCTCGTTGTCAGCTATCTAGTTGAAAAGAGTTTTTTTTTTAACTTCAGCGCCAAAGGAAAAAGGAGGAAAGGGAGAGCTGATATAGAATAATAGAAAAAAACTTTGTGTTTAGTTGCAGCTTTTTTTGTGTGTGTCAGGAGTGACTTGAGAAATTGCAAGTAGCTTCTGGTGTGAGAATTGGACGTCTGCAAGGACGTTGCCCAGGGTATGCCCAGATGTTTTACCATCCTGTGGGAGGCTTCTCTCATGGTAAGCTGGAGCTGACAGTTGGGAGCTCACTCTGCTCTCCGGATTCAAACTGCTGACCTTTTGGTCACTAGTCCTGCTGGTATAAGGGTTTAACCCATTGGTTGCAGCTGCATATTTGCAATGCACAGTGCAATATAAGCTCAGGTTGGAAAAGAATTGTATAACACACTGCTTCAGAGGATGGCGAACTCTCCATCTTTGGAAGTCTTCAAGCAGAAGTTGGACACACACTTTTAGGAGTGCTATAGTTGCAGATTCCTGCATGGCAAGGGTTGCATTTGATTGTTTTTTAATTAGCCTGTTAACAGTGGTTTAAAACTGGATTGGATGCCTAACAGTATTTGTTCAGAACCATTACATGTAATTTTCTTTGATCAAATTAAGATTTGGTTTATGCTAATGGATCAGTCTGGAATACTGAAAAAATATGTGTACCTCTTTCCAGTGATAATTTTTGGAGTACTAAACAAATCAGGTGTGAATTGTTTTATAATGTCCAGGTTTGCCTTGGTAAAACGTTTACATTAAAATCCAGGTAAGTTGTAAAATCATCCAGGAAAGCCCCTAATAGAAAAAGCAGCATGACTAATTTTTGCTGTTTACCTAGGTATTTTTTATTTTGCAGGAGCATTGCCATAGTGACAGTGATCTGCCAAATGATACCTTATCTTTCAAACAAGATCACAGTTTGCAGACCAAACAGATCCGCTCCTCCCTTTGGAATCTTGCTTATAATCAATTAAAGATGTGTGAATGGACAAAACTGGCACGATTCTGGATGTTTACAGATGAACAGGTCAAAGCTATTGAAGAGCAGTGGACAGGTAAACATACTGACTTTTCTAGATAAAGGAAAATACAAAAATAAATTCAATCTAAAGGGTTTTTTTCATTCTGGAGGAAATAATGTTTCTATTGCTTGAGCTATTTCGCTTAATTTTCACCCCAACCTATGTTTTAAAAAGAAAAACATTAAGGCTGAAATAGCTAATCCATTATCTTCTGATAGATACTTTCAGTGTTTCGTCCAATGGGTTAACCCCCTCCCCCCCATGTACCACCAGAACTGCTGACCGAAACGGTGATTCAAATCTGGGGAATGGGGTGAGCTCCCGTCTGTCAGTTCCAGCTTCTCAGAAGCCTCCCACAGGATAGTAAAACATCCGGGTGTCCCCTGGGCAATGTTCTTGCTGATGGCCAATTCTCTCACATCAGAAGGGACTTGCAGTTTCTCAACTTGCTCCTGACACACACACACACACACACACACACACAAAATGTTTTGTCCTATCACATCTAGTAGAAAAGATGTAATAGTGTGTGTTTTATTGTGTTTTAAAGAACCAAATGTACTTTCCCATTTACACTATGATGAATGTGTTCTCTACGCAGACTAAATCTGAAAATATAGTCAATAAATTATCCCATTCCAGTTCCAATATGATGAGCCTATAATTTTTAGTTATGAGATTTCCATCTCAGACTATAAATCTATTGAGGAATTAAATGAGTTTATTTATCACAAGCCATCATATATGCCGTTGATTTTATGGGTTATCAACATTTGACCGAAGGAGGGGAAATTCCTGATTTCATCTCTAAATATAGGTAGCAGTAAGGGAAGATGGGAACTGCAGGCTAATCACATCTAGAAGGCCAGCTCTGTATAAATAAGGTGTAACTAATACTGTGGCTTCCTAATGTTTTAAATTGTAAATCTTGGGATTTTTAACCAATGGTCTTGCCTGGTTGAAATTGAGAAGTCAGTTGAACAATGTCTATAGGGCCTCATGTTGCCTAACTCTGAAAAAAACTATAATTATGAAGAAAAGGTTAATATCTACCCACCTCCCCCAATATTATTAGCCATTTATCCTCAGAATCCAATCTCTGTGGATTAAGATTATGTCAAGGTTCTTCTCCAAGAGCACATGATGAGAAAAGTACAATGAAGACTTGAGTTGGCAATTGCTTAGTGTTGATGTATCATTTTTGATGACCGATGAGTTGCTTTTTCCCACTCAACTTTATAGACTGATGTTTATGTGCTTCAAACACTACTTGTGTTTATTTTAACTTTGTTCAATGCCCTAAGACCTGATTTTGCTGTTTAGAAAACAGAGTGAATAAAATAACAAACAGAGAATTGCTACTTCATGCACTTCCCAACTGGCAAGTTTTGTGATAAAGATCATGTAATATATTTCTCTTTTTGAACACTGAGCTCACGTTCTGTGTGATCATCCAGGGAAAAAGAGCTACAAGGAACACGGGCACAGAATGCTTCTAATCTGGTTACATGGTGTCCTAACTGCTGGTCAGAATCCAATCAAGCAATTATATGAAGATCTGGTGAGAGCTGGACTCCAACAACTAGCTGGTAAGCAATTGGTATTAAGAAGCAGTCTAACTTCCAGAAAAATATACTGGTATGGTTGAGGGAGCGCGATTCCTTGAACTGCCTGTACAAGTCAAAATTTGCTCCAAATCTTAGTAACTGTTTCTGAAGAATGACCTTCAACTGTGAACATGCTACAGTTCTCTTCATGTCTACTTAGAAGTAAGCACAACTGAGTTCTATAGGACTTATTTCCAATTAAACACAGAACTGAAGCTTAAACTTCTATTTACATGTAAAATAGAATAGCAACATGATTGTGGCGCAGGTGGCGGAGTATCCGCTGAATTAAGATCACTCTGACCAGAAGGTCATGAGTTCGAAGCCAGCCCGGGTCGGAGTGAGTGTCCAACCAATTGTGTAGCTTGTTGTCGACCTTTGCAACCTGAAAGACAGTTGCATCTGTCAAATAGGAAAATTAGTTACTACCTATGTGTGGGGAAGCTAATTTAACTAATTTATGAGGCCATAAAAAAGACTCCAGCAAAAAGCACTCCAGCAAAGCATGCGGGGAATGCGGAAGTACTTCATCAGTGTTGCAGATGGACGATGAAAGCGACAGCTCCCCTGGTGGCCAGAAAAGTTAAATAGCCTCTGTGTATGCCTATATACATTGTATGTCTAATTGGCATTGAATGTTTGCCATATATGTGTATATTGTAATCTGCCCCGAGTCCCCTGCGGGGTGAGAAGGACGGAATATAAATGCTGTAAATAATAATAAATAAATGCTGTAAATAAATAATAAAATATTCTTCCATTGAACTACCAGCATTCTTCACCACTGGCTATGCTATCTAAGGCTGCTGGGAGTTGCAATCCAGCCACATCTGGTGTGAACTAATAAGAATAAGAAATTAGGTGGCTGCAAGCCTTGTTGGGAACCGGAGCTGTTAGTCTCAAAAATAACCCTCACCTGGGGTGATTCCACCAAAACTATAGCAGAGTGCCAGAAGCACACTTTATAACTAGCAGAAACTTACATGTGGTGAGTCAGGATTAACTTCCATTCAACAGGATGGCACAGCATTGCAGAGTCGCAAGTTTAGGTTCAAAATATTTATTGAAGTAAAAAAAAAACCCATTCTAGGTAGAAAAAGGTTTTGGAGCTAACTAGCTTACTAAGTTCATCTTCTAAGGAAGGTTAAAGTATAAAATATCAAAAGTATCCATGCAGCTACATTTTACCTGGAGAATGGCAAATGCGTCCTCACTGGAAGGAAGACAAAGGCAGAAGAAGGGGCTAAGGAGAATGACCACATGGCCAAAGCCCAGGGCAATCAAAATGCCTTTAAAGATGAAGTTACTTCATCCCTCACAGAGATAGTGGCAAGCAAGCAGAGGAAAGACAAAGCCCCTTCTGGGATAAGCATGCATAGGAATGTAGGGGGAGGAATCCCTTACTCTAATCCTATCTAGTCTAGCTATTTATTGGGGACTGGAGACTTGTGCAGTCCAGGGATGAAACCCAACAAGCCTGATTAATAAATACTGAAATAACCCAAGTACACAGTAAACGTGAACTAGATAACTTTGAAATGGATCTGTTTCAATTTCAAAAATCGTAGTAATTGCCTTTGCTTTAACTAGCTTTAACTGTGCAGTGTCCAAACAGATTTCTGAATAGCTACTGAATGTAGTGTTAGCTATGTGCAAACCTAACGGTATCATTCACATCTGACACAGATTACAGACATCTGGAGTTTTCTGAACCCTAATGACAGCATTTCTTTTTACAGAGAAGATGAGATCAGAGAGTAATGCTGGCACAGACCCAAGAAAATGTGCAGTTTCATGAACCCATCCAACAAAGCCAGATTGAAACTACTTTTTGAAAATAACATACAAATATTGAATTTCATTTATTTACAAATTGTTCTTTCAAAAACTGCCGATTTGCTACCCCTGCATTTCTTACAATGTTGTCACATGAATATTTGTTTTAGAGACAAAAACGAGCCTTCTTTCCTCCTGGCTCCCACCTCCACTTTTTTAGGCCAGAGAACACATTACATTTTCCTTGCAACAACTAATTTCATATTCTACATGTGAATAAAACTATATAAAACCTTGTGTTTTGTGGCTTAATTTATTACTAAATTTTATGAACACAATTACTATGACCTCATGATCTTTCTGATGTAGCAGCCATTGCTATGTGACTATGTGACCATTTCCTAAACATAAACATGATTGTGTCTTAGATGTGCACAGTAGTGTCTTCAGATCCTGGCTAATAATTAGGAAAGTATTTAGAGTATTATTTTTTGGGCATAAGGATGCAACTGGATTTTGTGACCTGTATTAGGTTCAATCTGTTTAACTACGGAAGATTCTTTATTTTTTGGAATATCATATTGAAAGCGCACTGCTAATTCTCTCATTAACAACTTGATCTTCATAGTACAGGGTTAGTCAAAATGAATAGGCCAATAAGAAAATTAATTTTAGACGAATGTATGTTCATTGTAACCAAACTACAGCTACGTAGCGACAGATAAACTATCAAAGTTTTGTCTCACCTTCAGAGATGTTTGATATGGGCGCCCCGTGTGACACGGAAGATGTCCAAGCGATAGTCCAGTTCATTCCACATCCGTTGCAGCACATCCGACGTAATGGCATCGAATGCAGCAACGTCTGGGAAGGTGTTCGTTGAGGTCCTAACCCTAACCCTAACCCTATCCCTAACCCTAACCCTATCCCTAACCCTAACCCTAACCCTAACCCTAACCCTTGAAATTCTCCCTGGACCGTAATTACTGACATTGTTTTAGCAAATGTCATCACACAAAACGCCTTCTCTTTGCTTGATTCCGCCATTTTGAAAACAGCGACCCCTAGCGACGCCTAGCGGCATTAACGTACATGTGTGTTGCTCAAAAAAAACTTTGATAGTTTATCTGTCGCTACGTAGCTGTGGTTTGGTTACAGTAAACATACATTCGTCTAAAATTAATTTTCTTATTGGCCTATTCATTTTGACTAACCCTGTACTTTCAGTCACAGTATTCTCTGAAAGTCAAATGGGTCAATAAGCCTGACAGAATTACCTGTCCCTAATAATAAAAGTGCATGGAAGATGCTGCTAAATTTAGCAGTGTTTATTTTGTTGTTGAAATCCATTCTTGAGCTACAGCTGGACTTTTAATTTCACTGCAAAATCCTATGTGTATATAGCAGGTGCCACTTGCAAGAAAAGTCGTTTAAACTACATGCGCTTTGGGCATTAGTTGACACACCAATCCATGTACGTTACTGATGTCTCACCACTCCCAGCATTGCAGTTCACAGTTTGGTATATTGAATTGCCATGACTGAAAAAATATTACATTTGATATTTAGATAATGTGAAAGTTCTGTCCATAGTGTTTGTTGCTATGCACATCTCACATATCCAAGCTATCACTTCATGTCTCATTCAGCAGTGAATTTACAAGTGTCTCATAAGTCATACTTAAGAGACTCTTCCAAAGTGATTTCAAAAGTTGAAGTCAGAAGAGGCAGCAGCATTGATAACGTTAAAATACTACACAGAAGGAACTTCAAATGCATTCTGGGAATGTATATTGCGAGCTTAGGCCTACAGCAGTGCTATGACCCCTTAATACAGTTCCACATGTTGTGGTGACCCCCAACCATACCATTATTTTCGTTGCTACTTCATAACTGTAGTTTTGCTACTGTTATGAATCATAATGTTATGATATGCAGGATGTATTCTCATTCACTGGACTAATTTGGCACATATACCCAATATGCCCAAATTTGAATACAGGTGGGGTTGGGGGGATTGATTTTGTCATTTGGGAGTTGTAGTTGCTGGAATTCATAGTTCATCTACAATCAACCGACGATGAGATTGAACCAAAATTGGCACAAAGAACTCCCGTCACCAACAGAAAATACTAGGAGGGTTTGGTGGGCATTGACCTTGAGTTTTGGAGTTGTAGTTCACTTACATCCAGACAGCATTGTGGACTCAAACAATGATAGATCTGGACGAAAGTTGGCACCATTACTCAATATGCCCAAATGCAAACACTGGTGGAGTTTGAGGAAAATAGACCTTGACATTTGGGAGTTGTAGTTGCTGAGATTTATTGTTCACCTACAATCAAAGAGGATTCTGAACCCCAATGATATAATTGGGCCAAACTTCCCATTCAGAACTCCCATGCTGGGACTTGTTGGTGTGAGCCTCCCTCCAGCCTCGCATGTTCTCCCTTGCCTGCACATGTGCACCATGCTGCCATGTGCCGAGCACACCTGCTCTCCCCTTCCCCGCTTAGAGTCTCAGAAACAGCCCTCCCCTTGGCTGAGAGGCTGGCCAATCACAGCGGAGGAGAGCTTTTGGTGAGAAGATTCGCCGTCTGTTTCCAAAAAGAAAAAGGAGGACAGCTGGAGAGAACTTCAGCTTTCTCTGCCAAAGGGGCACCTAAGACCATCAGAAATATGTTTTCTGATGGTCTTTGGCAACCCTTCTGAAACTCCCTTGTGATCCCCCCCAGGGGTCTTGACCTCCAGGTTGAGAAACGCTGGCCTACAGCAACATGGCACTACAGACAACCTAGGGCTTCTTGCTGTGGAGAACCATGGAGAAATTGATGTTATTTATCTACTGCAAATAACTATAGTGGCATTCATTTTACTCACCCATATTTAGTGCATACATGAGTTAATACTTCTGATGACATTTGGTCCAACTTCCTTGCAGTGTAGTGTTCGTTCTTTTCAAAATTGGTAAAGAAACATTATGAGGAAGGCAACCTTATTTCTGAATTTCAAGTAACTGCTATGTCAACAGTTGAGATTTCGTTTTAAAATCAAGTTTTGAAGGAGCCTCTATCAATGCTTATGCAGCAGGAACATTCATGCTTATTAGAACACAAGAAGTTCAGTTCATTCTTTTTTATTAAAAGCATTAAATAATCATATTTAATAAAATATGTTAAGGAAATAAGAATTTCAAGTATACCTTATTTGAAGTTATACAGAACTACATTGCACCGACTTGAGTGGCTTACTTTTTATGCCATGCAACGTTTTTACATCTGCAATGTTATTACAGATAGAAAAAAAAAACATGATGCATCCTTGGGGACTTCCTTTATCAATTGGTAAACATTGAGAGTTTGAACGATAACCTGGCAAATTCTTCCCATGTGGTTAAGTTGAAATATGAGCATTTTAGCCTTCACAGCTATTCAACAACTTTTATTGAGTGGATGTTGTTATGGGTCTGGGTGCGAGTCTTCCTGCTGTGTCCTGAAGGTCTCAAGCTGATACCATTAGAAAACAAAGTTCGAGGATATTTAGCAGCAGTAGCTTGAGAGACAGTTTGCTGAAATACAAAAGGAAGGAGTTATTTATATGGGGTCGCATCTCATAGACTACAATATTAAAGGTAAAAACAACAGGCAAAATTAGTCAGGAACTTTCTGGAAAACACTTTTAATATTGTAGCAGTTCATCAGTTAGTTGTCAAAAGGAATGAAAAGCTTTTGAGTTCTTACTCTAAAGCAAAACATTCTTCACATATACTTTTACCAGGGCAAATTTCCTCTGACTATGTGTTTCACACGCTCTTGTTAGCCCACTTAAAGAAAAGCAAAGACTTTGGCAGAAAAAGGAACATATTCCTCTTGCTTTGTATTCAGTCAAGTCTTCAGGAAAGAAGCACAACACTATTGTCAACTCTGTTCTTACTGCCTTTGATCCTTCCTAGACTTGTCCACTTTAACTCAACATGTACACGGTGACTGACAAGAAGCACTGCTTTCAAAAAGCCTCGGGTGACCTTTGTTGTAACTGCAGTTAAAGGAAAATGACAGCAGAAAAAATATGAATCCAAGTGGCATCTAGATCTATAAATATAAATCTATGCTTGCCATAGATGCAGGCGAAATGTCAGGAGAGAATGCCTCTAGACCATGGCCATATAGCCCCAAAAAACCTACAACCCAGTGAAGTAGGAGGAAGAAAAACATCCAGTAGTTCTGATAGGAATAAAGAACTTCTCACCACTTTTGAGTACACTGGAATGCTTTCTACTAATATTATCAACTAAGGCAACAAAGCATTTGGTGTCCAGAATTTTCAAAATATCACAAGTTTCTGTAGCTGTAAAATGCCTCACGCTCTCTCTAGGGCAGTGGTTCCCAACCTTTTTTTGACCGAGAACCACTTTGACCAGGGACCACTTGACCAGGGGCCACTCTCTAACATTAGTACCAAAAGGGTTACGAATTGGTTTTTGGTCAACTTTTGATTCGGTTTGGGGTGCTGATCCAGAAAATTGCATTGGATAGACCACATCAGCTCTAGTTTCTGATACAGAACATATGTCATAGTCAGCAATAGGGAAGGAGTGGCAGGTGATGTGAAATAAGCAGAAATAAAATAAATCAATTAAGAGGAAGGAGGTCCGCGGACCAGATATTCGTCCTCGTGACTCACTGGTGGTCCACGGCCCACCAGGGTAAAAACCAAAACAGAAAGTAATCTTTCCTATTCACTTTCTTCCTATCTATGCAAAGGCTTTACCCCATCCGTTTAATATTTATGCATCACTGGATTACAACAAAGTGCAATAGAACCATGTTGATATGGGTATAGGCATAGCAGTCAAAAGAGAAAGCATTTCAGACTTTTTAAAGTTCTCTAATTCTCCGCTAATTCTAGTGTAAAAAAAAAAAATCACACAGAGACTATATATTAATACACTGCCAACCGGAATAGCAAGGAAAGTGGAAACGTATTGTGAATTTGAGACCATGCTAGCAACCACCTGCATCTTGACCTTTCCATTGGAATTTGCCTTAGACTGGGTCAGACCCTTGGGACAACCTGCATGCTCCTACTCCATGACAGCCGGTCACACCTACCTCTCAGATACTGGAGTATGAGGATTCAATTGAACTAGTTCAGTCCTTTCCATTTAACAATTAACATTCCACATAAGAATCGGAGGTGGTCATAGGAAAAAGTTGTGGTCATGGTTTTTTAAGAGCAACCCAAAAAAGCCACAGAACTGTGTGCAATCTGATAGATTTATCAAAACAAACAAACAAATACAAAAAAGTGGGTTGTTGTAGGTTTTTTCGGGCTATATGGCCATGGTCTAGAGGCATTCTCTCCCACCCTGGTCATTCCACAGATATATAAACCCCTTTTCCTAGTTCCAACAGACCTCACTATCTCTGAGGATGCTTGCCATAGATGCAGGCGAAATGTCGGGAGAGAATGCCTCTAGACCATGGCCATATAGCCCAAAAAAACCTACAACCCAGTGATTCCGGCCATAAAAGCCTTTGACAATACATTAAATACAAAAAAGGAGGCTGGGGCAGAGATAGACCAAATATCTGATCCTAAAGTCATCCAGTTTGTACATTATACTGAAATATAATGGAGAGGAAGAGTATGCATGTCCACAACTAGGGCGCATTATATGATGAATGCTATGCTAAATTCTCCTTAGTTGTTGAGACACTGATTTGATTTCCAATTCAGAATTCCTCTCCCCCCTCCGCTTCAATTTTCACACTTTCTGCTATTTTGAACATGAGTTTTATTGGAATTTTACCACTGGATGCACAAAAGATACAAGATGCAAAATATTTTGATTTATAAAGGGAAATAAAATCAAACCAGCACTGTTTGCTGCATATTTACTGAATCAATACTGAGAAGAAGTCCCTTTGGCAGCAATTACGGCTAATTTATTCATGTCAAAAGCATTCCATAAATAAGTATAAAACTGATAAAAAAATAGAAGAAACACAAGTGACTAAATAATTTTTGACCAAAAAAGCATTATCTGTGGCTTTAAACAATTCTTCCTCTGTGCATGAGGCAGGGCATTGTGGGCAAGCATGCAGATGCGGAGTTGTTTATTATGTCCCACAGCTGCACAGCAATTACAGCTGTGCTTCTTGGATATATCTCTACTACCACACATCTGGATCCTGTGATTTTTGCTCATACTTCTTGGCAAAATTGTTCCTGCTCTGTCAAGGAGCAGCTGTCAAGTGCTGCCTCAGGTTCTCAACTGCATTAAGATTTGGGTACTAATTAAATTGTTTCAAGACATTCACATTTTGTTAAAAGTGATATTAAACTGCATTAAGTCTACAGTGTAGATCAGGCATGGGCAATAGGCAGTTAGGAATTGTGGGAAATGGAATCCAAAACACTTGGAGGGGCAAGGTTTGCCCATGCCTTGTGTAGATGCAACCTGAATGCATAGAAAATGATGTTTTACTGGAAAATAGTCCTGTACTTTAATACTATTTGAGTATCTTTTGGTAAATACGATCCTGCTGTTTCAGAAACGAAGCCAAGGAGACATCGAGTAGATGTTTTGTCTCAGAACTCAATTTTTTTGTCAAAAACTCCAATGAACTAAATAAAAGGAAAAGGCAAACAATACTCAAATGTTATTTAACTTACTTGAGTGACTGGATGATGTTTTTCCACAACAACAGAATTCATGGGAGGAGAAACGCCTATCACATCTAAGCTACTGATGATTCGATTCTTTGGTGCAATTTCAGATCGGCCAGTGATTCTAGCTGTGATCGTCCTTCCAGCCTTCTGATGTGCCGTTATAACCCTAGTCAGGGGCTACAACCACCACAATACAAATTACAGTTACATATAAATGGTCAAAGTCAGCTTTTCAAAAGTCAGTTATTCAATTATTTATAATTATTCTATGTGTGATCACACTCTAGTTTTACCCACATAATATTTACAGAAGCTTCAACGCTTGTGGTTGCAGACACTCCCTTAAATCCCCAATATGTGAAACTTGACAAAAATGTATTTCCATTGAAAAGGGAAATACTAAAATGAACAGAAAAATGTTCACTAAGTATCTCCTACTATAAGAACATGGATAAGAATGCACATATCCTATTACTAAAGTTTGTGAAAAATGTTAGCAGGGGTCTACCACCATAGACTTTATTGGAAAAAGAAAAAATATATACTCTTGACCATTACCGCTTTTGGAATGGACGAACTTGCAGCACCGGCGTCTAGTCTGGTCTGAGAGGTCACTGCATGGCTCTGGTGAGAAGAGAACTGCAAGCAATGGGAAAAGATTGCAATGTTTAAATTAAGTATCTGAGCACCACTCATTTTTTAATCCTAGATTATGAAATAAAACGTTACCTTGATTGGCAGGAGCAATATTACAGCAATGCCAGCACTATGTGGTATGATTGGCCAATTCTACTTAAACTGCCATGACAAATGTCATTAACATTCATCCAGCGTTCTGCAGCATTCCCAATCTCTTTTGCTCCACTTCACAGAGATTTAAGACTATCAGAACTGGGAGCATGCTCCTGATTGGGATAATTTGCAATGCTTCTTTACTTACCAAATCTTCTGTGTGAGCAACACCCAGAGCTGGTGTTGGAGGTGGAGGAGGTGGTCGAGGTGGAGGCGGCGGGGTGTTTGGTGGTAAAGGTGGATCAAAGTGAGATGGAGGGAGCCTTGGTGTAGAACCATCAGTGCCAGCACTGGGTTCTCCTCTCTTATCTGACAGTTCAACTAACATAGATAAACAAACAAACAAACGTGATTGTAGAGCAGCTAATGATTACATCAGTCTCATAATATGTATTTTGAACTCAATTATTAATACAAATATTTTAAAACAATACTGTGCAACTTGTATTTAGACATGCACAATGTATGAGCAATATTTATTCCCATTTATTTAATACAAAGCATTATCTACATAAATAATTGAACTGTTAGTAATATTTGTGTGTGTATATGTGTGTACACACAAACACACACACAAGATAAAGGTTTCCCTTGACATTAAGTTTAGTTCTGTCCCACGCTGGGGGGTGGTGCTCATCTACATTTCTAAACCGAAGAGCTGGTGTTGTCAGTAGATGCCTCCAAGGTCATGTGGCTGGCTTGACTGCATGGAGCACAGTTACCTTCACGTCCGAGCGGTACCTATTGATCTACTCACATTTACATGTTTTCGAACTGCTAGGTTGGCAGAAATTGGGGCTAACAGTGGGAGCTCATCCACTCCCTGGATTCAAACTGCCGACCTCTTGATCAGCAAGTACAGCAGCTCAGTGGTTTAACCTGCTGTGCCACTGAGGGTTCCAACACAAATATATATAAAAGAAAATTCAGAAAATGGCCCAGAGTAATTTGCAACTTAAATTACATATATGGGAAGACAGAGGCCAGAGTAAAAGGGGCAAAACTGCGTAAGCCATGTTATATGTCTTATTAGATCCACTTGGCAGTGCAGTCTGATATCCAGCTGTACTCCTTGTCCATCAAACCTGTTTGCTCTGTGGTTTTTTTTCCTGGCAAACTTTAAATACATCTGTCATAACCTTGAATCTGGGGTTATATTTAAATTTTCTTCATTTCTACCAATAGGATTTTGTAGTTTTGGGACAACTTTAGACAAAGGACAATATATACATTCTTAAGAGAAGTTTCACTGAAAACAACTTCAGGAAAAGGAGGCAGCATTCACTGAGTGCAATGAAGTATGTGCATAATTGTTTAGGGAGTCAAAGAGTACTATGCAATGGAGAATATAAGACTGCAATCATCAAACGCATTTGTGTAAAGGCACCTATATATTTTCAAGCTAGGCTAACATCTGGGAGAACCAGGAAGGATCAAATAACCCACCAACTGTACCTAAACTACTGAAAATGTAAATATTAAGAGATATATAAGACCTCTCTGTGACTTTCCATGTCATTGACCCTTGTATCCTTCTGAGATGCACCTCTGGGATGAAACTTGAGGGCACAGTTTTGCAGTATTTCTGGTCTTTCCTCAGCAGAGGGTTTTTTTTTTGGTCCCACCATTAGCAGAGGGATGTTTGCTGAGATACAGGAGAGAGCCTTCTTTTTGGCTGCTCCTAGATTAGACTGCCCCCTCCCCTTTCTGCTAATTTTACCTCAATAGGCAAATAACTTTTTGTTTACCCAACTCTTTACTTGTTAACTGTATGCCGAAAAAGATCCTTTAGAGTGGATGTTCTGTATTTTTATAATCATTATTACCTTTAAACTGGTGTTTAATATTTCCAATATTTCTACTATGATTACTTTTTTAATTTCTTCCTACCTTTTGCATTATTCTTTTTAAACTGAAATTTGTTTCACATGGATTATAAACTGCCTTAGGTCCCATATTGGGGAAAGTAAGGATAGCAAATGAATGAATGAATGAATGAATAAATAAATAAATAAATAAATAAATAAATAAATAGACAAAACATACTTGATAGACATGAACCTGCTATTCCTTCTTGAAAACATTTCTTAGGACCTCACTCTCTTATGTTACCTCAAACCTAGGGTTACATTCTAAATCACAGCCAGGAAAAACAGCATTTAAAGGAACCTTAGCTTTCTGATAATTTTTGCAATATCTAAAGACCCCTCCCTCTCAATCATTAGCTCGAGTTTGGCAAATAGATCTTTGATTTCTTGAGTTATCTTTTGTCCACAATTGATTCACACATATGTACAGAGCCAAGCAGGCAAAACTGCTATATGAATGTCATAATACAGCATATGAATGAATACTAATCTTTAAAAGAAAGCATAAACATTTTTCCATAAATCCTGTAATCCTTCCTTTCAACAGGGCTGGAGTGCCACCTTGTGGTAAATTATATAATGCAGATTTAAAAACAAGTATATCCTTTTTAGGTGGCTATTTTGAACAGGCGATAGCTTCCCTTGTATAAAGAAATTAAACAGCAAGGATTGTCAGAAAAACAGCAATAACAGTGAGGTTCATCTATTTTATAGTAACTCTATAGTCAAAATCTTGCATGCTTCTCATCAGACCAAATACAGACAGTCCTCAAATTACAAACAAATAGGTTCTGTAGGTTTGTTCTTAAGTTTAATTTGTATGTTAAGTCAGAACAGGCACATTTTAAGTGTATCTCCAGACAAAAGATATTTATACACACACACACACACACACACACACACACCACACAAACATACAGATACATAAACGTTTCGGATAGCATAGGGGAGGGTTAACATTCCTTTTTTATATCTCTGTCTCTGTTCAGAAGATTTCACCTCCTTTTCTGTCCCTGTGATAACTGGATTTTGAAAAAATTGACTTGTTGCGGAAACAAGGATTGGTGATAGATTCAGTGGACACAACTATTTCCCATGATAGCTCTTTCAGGAGAAAATTTCCTTTCCTAGGGATAGATTTCTCCCACTTCCTATTATTTCAGTCCCATTCTTAACCATGAGTTTGTTGTAGTCCGGTTGCTTGTAATTTGGGGGAGTGTCTGTACTGTAAAAAAAAAAAAAAGCTAAATATTTAGAATCAAAGTTATGATTAGCAAAAAATGTGGACTGATATCTGCCCTGTCTCTCATTTTAATTCTTAGTTAACCGGGGGAAATCGACTTACAAAAATCAGCAGTCAACCACTGCCTAGTCTGAATGCCTGGAGTTTTCCAAGTGTAAAAACCTCTGCTATTCGCCAACTCCATGTGCAGTGGCAAAACAGGAGAAAACAAGAGTCAAGATGGGATAACAGCATCTTGGTCCTGGAAAGTTGATTTTTGCAGGATAAGACAGGTAATTAGCTACAGGGCCTATTGTTGTGTACTTTCAAGTTATTTCTGACTTATAGCAACCCTAAGGAGAAATCTGTCATGCAGTTTTATGGGTCTGAGAGTATGTGACTCGCACAGGGCCACTCTGTTTTTTTGTGGGTAAACTAGGAATTGATCCTTATCTTTAGAGTTGTAATCCCATGCTCAAATTACTACATCACTATCTAACCTTCGCTATCAACTTAAACTTGTGCCTTCTTGAAATGTATTGGCAACAAAAAACTGCTGTTTTCTTCATGTTGTTCCAGAAGATTTATATCCTTTCAAACTACTGATTCTTTGGTGGATAATAATTATTTACATACATAAACATTTTGGTTGCCGAGCCTATTTCATGCTAGTAATGTATTTTAAAAATTATTATCTTCCAATGAATCAATCATTTGGGCAATTAGAAAGAAATTTAGAGCAACTTCTCTGTAGTACATACATTTTTGTGGGGGGAAATTCCCGCCAGAGGGCAGTCCTGGGTGCTGCAAATATGTTGTTGTTGTTGAGGGGGGGAGGGGGGGGTTATACACAGCTCACACATTCCTTTGTGTCCGCCTACTCTTGATTTACATATTTATGTCTCAACCTGATACACAAAAAAAGCTCCTATCAGAGGCTTCCCTATTCAGTAATTGTTTTCAGGGCCCTCTTATAGCAAAACTGAACTGGAAAAAAGTGGCATTTTTTTGTAATTGCCAATTGGATAGGATGAGGATCTTCTAATGTCCATAACACTTTCTCAAAACCCAAAGGGGGGAAATGTACAGACAATTCATTGATAATTGTTGTTGTAGTGTGCTTGAAGTCATTTCAGACTAAAGCAAAGCTAGCACAGTTTTCTGGTAGAATTTGTTCTGAGGGGGTTTCCTTTGCTTTCCTCTGAGGCTGAGAGAGTGTGACTTGGCCATCGTCACCCAATGGGTTTCCATGGCCAAGCAGGAATTCAGACCTTGATCTTCCAGTGTCCTAGTCCAACACTCAAACCACTACACCATACTAGCAATTCATTGATGTTTCTTTCACTGTAATACTAACCATGGTCAAATTTGAATTCTTTGCCTTGAAATACTGTCATTGCTTCCAGATTCAGTGCACAGACACCACGCATGAAAGCCTTCTTCATAGTATCTTCACATTCCTGCCTTTTATTCTGCAAATCTATAATTTCAGCTCTTGCCTGTTCCAGTGCAGCATTCAACTAGCAAGGAGAAAATATTTCTAATAAGCATTCATTATTTAGCACATTCGTATTTGCATTTCCCTTAACCGTTTGATAAAAGATAGAGGGAAAATGCATTCTGCATTCCTGCTTGGAAACTACACAGTACACAAAATTCAGTGTACTTGGACCCCAAATAAACAATGTACCAAATTGCAAGAAGCATACTGCAATATGGACCAGACTTACATATACTGATTTTAACTAATTTTCTCATGCATTTGATAACCTGTGGTTTCAGAGACTGATTGGACAGTACATCTGAAAAGTAAAGTCAAAAGTTGTCACCTCCTACAGGGATAAGATTAGATTCATAGGACATAGTCCTACTTGAATTACTCCTGTTTTTCATGTTTTCCTTCTCTACTCAACTATGTTCCCTAGCCACACATGAATTGATTTTCCTACATTTGTTTTGCGTTTTCTTTTTCAGCTATAAACTTTCTTGCTATTCTCTTACATTTTCTGGTAATATCCACTCTTAACAGAGTTCAGTAGTCTGCACTTCTTTTACAGTTTCTATGTTTACATGTTTTGATGGTGGCCAGATCCACACAGCTCACAGATACAGCAGTGCCTCCACATTTGTAGGGGGTTACGGTCATGAGGACTCCAGGAAAGTGGAAAAACCATCAATATAAATAGAAAATCACAAATGCTGTATGCAACTTAAAAAAAAAAAACATTCCCGCTAAGCAGTTCTAAGTCTCCAAGTGTGATATCTATGGTACAATTTTTGGCGTCAGGTATAGGACAGCAGCAGAAGCGACAGCAAATAAAATAATCAACGAATAATCAAACCCATGAATAATTAATCCACAAATATGGAGGGGCTGTACTTTCATTTTCAGAATGATTATTTAAATATTTCCCTCATTTTAAAAAAAGCTTACTTTTATTTAGTTTGCTCAGTAATGAAATTTCTTAATTTCACCTGATCATCTTTTAAAAAATCAAGTGTGTGTAAGTTGTTGGTCAGCTTACAGCTATCCTATGGGTTTGATAGTGTTTTCTTAGGCAAGGAATACTCATAGGGCGTTTATCATTGCCTTCTTCTGAAATACATAGTCTACAGTCCCTGGCAACTTAGTTTATATTCAAAGCAACCCTAATGAAATCCAAGTGCAATGGCCAAATCTTATTTGATTCTAGGTTGGCCACCATGCTGCTCGAAAGCAGAAGCTCTACAAGTTATTATCTTTTACTGTATGAGACATATATTTACTACTCCAATAGAGAAAGAATACTCTTTCAAAACATTCAGTAGACAAAAAGTTTGTTTAGAAGCGTTGGTACCTCTTGAAGTTTAGTTTCATAGTCATTAGACAGTTCAACACGAACAGATTCCGCACTTGACTGGTAGGCCCTTTCCAACGATTCTTTCCATTTTGTATGAATTTGAGAGCGCCAGGTCCTCCATGCTTTCTTCACCAAGCCCATTTCGTACAAGCGATCGGCCAACCTATTTGTATATACCTGAAATGATGGATGAATAGATTGGGTATGAGTTTCTGACATGCTTAAGAGAAGCCAATTAGGCTCTTATCTCCCATATTTGCTGTAATTTATACTTTATCAACATTATATCAATGCTGGGAAATACAAGGTTGTGTAGTCCATATAACATGGTGATGGGCTGATGCATAGTGTCGAAACAACCAAAATATGTGGATCTATGGAGGTTTTATGTGTATAGGCAGCCCCCAGGTTATGAGCATGCGACTTATGAACAAGTCCCTTACCTTTGACCAATTCAGCACACAATGTCTTTCAATGCACTTTAGCTCACCCTTAAATGAATTAAATCCCATTGATTGTCCCCTCCAAACTTCCCATCAGATACATTACCCTACTCGTCCATCTCACCCAGCATTTTAAAATCATATCTGTTGTATTTGGCCCTGCCCACTTGGTTCAATGTTTTATTTTGTTTATACTCTGTATTATTTTGGATTTTTAAAATTTATATTATTGTATTTATTTGATGTATTATTTTATGATCTTTCGTGGTATTTTGTTCTGTTGTAATTTGTTGAGCTTGGCCTCATGTTAGCCACCCTGAGTCCCCTTGGGGAGATGGAGGTGGGGTATAAAGTTGTTGTTGTTGTTGTTGTTATTATTATTATTATTATTATTATTATTATTATTATTATTATTATTATTAGCACTAGCTCACCCTTCCTCTCAAGCTGCAGTTGCTAGTGAAAGAGGCTGGCAACAGGCTCCTTTGCCCCTTGCCTCCAACCACGGCCTTGGATAGGGAGGAATAGCAAGGGAGCTTGCTGACTCTCTCTTGTTGTTCCTCCACAGCCAAGGGTGAGAGGGATAAGGGGTGAAGAAGGCTCCAGCCAGCCTCCCTTGCCCTTCATTAGAGCCTTGGCTGGGGTGAGGGAGACTGATCTTCTGAATAGGGGCACAGACAACAAAGCAAACGTTAAAGGGGTGTTAACCCATCCCTATGTTACCCAAAACTTTAAAAAGATCTTTGGTTTGGGTTACACTTCAAAAATTCAACATACAAATTCAACTTCAGAACAAACCTACAGAACCTATATATGTAACTTGGGGACTGTCTGTATTTGCTACTGCAACTAACTAGAGCTTGATGTAAATAGACCACAAAATACATTTTCTTTTGAGTAATCCATGCAGATTAGGTCCAACCACAATCCTTCAAATTCAAAATAATACATTTGGAATGGCTGCACACATAATATTTTCAGTCATTTAATTTATGGAAGAAATGGATGTTTCCAAATAAAAATACAGTGTTATCAAAAATTCATGGTAAATGTTTTAGCAAACACACATATGAAACCTATATGAATGTGAAGGCAAAGTTTTCAGGTTTTTTTTCACACTGAAAGACGTTCAATATGGCTGATGCCAGTCACACAGCACACATCTAAATGCTAGTCCAGCCCCTGCCACACACGTTGCATCATGTTGTGGTCAATGGAACTCACAGCTCCGGGGACTTGTCTGTTTAGCTCATCAATAGTCACCAATAGAGGTGAAACATGCACTACTGTGTGAACCAGCATCTAATCATCTTTCCATCTAGTGCCGCTTTCTGATAGCACATTCTAAAAGCCCATTGCACGGTAATTACGGACTTAGTGGTTTGAAACTGTAGGACACAGAATGCCTTCTCCTGCTGGGTTGCAGCCATTTTGCACTGCCGCACGAGCACACATTGCCTGGTGGCTGCTCATGCAATTACCCCATTCGGGCGGCACATAAGAGTGTGGGGAAAAAACTTGATGACTTCCCTGAAACATTCATGCTGCTTTGAGTTTCCTTTGTGTAGAGAAAAAGCAACGTATAAATAAACAAAACATAATAATAATGTAACTGACTCTTTGTTGTCAGATTCAGCAAGGGTTTCAGTCTTCTGAAATTCAGCCCAAACATGTACCTCCTGTTTAGCTTCTTGTCTGCCTATAAGATGCTGAAGACGCCACTTTGCAAATTTCTTCATGAGCTCTATCCTGTCCTTCTGTTTCTCAACTGCATGTGTCAAATTGGCAATTATCTAAACAAAACAAAAGAAAAAAAAATACACAGATCTTAAAAGCTACAGAGTAATACAGTTTTAATAGCTTAGTTCAAAAGCACACATGGACTTGAATGGAGAATCTGTATTCCTCTCAACATTGGACACCCACTCCCATCCTCCCAATCTAGGTTGTTATTACATGGAGTCCAACACACTCTTCAATTCTGATGGACAGGCCAATAATATACTTCCCACAGTTCTCTTTCATGGCAGATTTCACACCTGACCTCAGATTCCCATTGATTTATGAGGAGGAAAACAAAAATGACAGTGTAAGTAGGTAGTAAGAAAATGTACAGTAATTTCTAGGCTGCAGAAGCCTCCAATTTTCCAATCACAGTTATGCTCTCTTCTTTGTATTTATTAAGACAGCTGCTAAGCTTAGCTTGCTGCTAAGACCGTTTTTGTTACAAAAGAATAAAGGCAATGTTTGCTTTCTATGACTTATTACAATAGATTAGCAGAAATTATTACTTCGTCCTTCCTCCCTATTGAAATCTCGTATGTATGTAGTAGCTCCTTCAAGTTCTCCATCTGATTCATCAATTGTCTCACATGAGCTGCATGTTTTTCTTTTTCTTGTCTCATTTCAAGTGTGTGATGTTCAATAAAATGAAGCTTCCATTTCCTCAGTTCAGTAAGAACATTGGTCTGAAAAATTCAATACAGAGGTTTAGTGAAGAAACATACCAAGTTCATTAAAATACTCAATGCATTTTAAGTGCACATATTTCCTCCTGCTTTTGTCCCTTAGTCACAATTGTTAAAACAAAACTTATCGGCTCCTCAATACAACTACAAGTTTTTCATGTCTATTGCTATCCACACATGCAACCTGCTCATTAGTAGTTATGGATGTCTATTTCTAGGCTCTTCACTTCATCTATCTGATGAAGTAGATTTAAGTTTGCTTATACAAACAACTTCTTTATCTCGGTTGCAAAAGATGATACAAGATCCTTTTGCATACTAATCTAGTCTAACATAGTTATGTATTTGAATTTGAAATGCACGTTTAGATTTATAGGAGTAGGAACACTTTCTACCACAAATATGTTTATAGATCATTAATGTTGCATTAATTTGCTTTTACAAGCTGAAACAGAAGGATAGCACAAAATGTCTTCCCTTCGGCAGTTTTTGTGTGTGACAACAATGTTTATGCAAAAGGAATATAAACCAGCATACATTATGGCTTCAAAACATGGAGCTCTCTAGTGCATGGCATTTAAATAACTGCCTTAACTCATCAATGTTTTTTATAAAAAGTAAAGGGGAAAAAATAATCTTTCAAAATCTGGTTGGTTACATGATGACAATCGATCTCTTGCTAGATTTTTTTAACAAGTCTCAATACTTTACCAATAGGGGCTCTGAATAGCAGCAAAATATTTTTAAAATAGTGTGCTTTGGGGACTTTCAGGATACATTTTGGTCTTCTTTTTTATGAAATGGTAAAGGTAAATGTTTTCTCTGACATTAAGTCTAGTTGTGTCTGACTCGGGGGGGGGGGGAGGAGGAGGGGGATATAGTGCTCATCTCCATTTTTAAGCTGAAGAGCTGGTGTTGTCCATAGACACCTTTGAGGTAAGGTGGCCACCATGACTTCATGGAGCACTGTTACCTTCTCGCTGGAGTGGTACCTATTCACCTACTCACATTTGCCTGTTTTCTAACTGCTAGGTTGGCAGAAGCTGGGGCTAACAGTGGGAGCTCACCCCACTCCCCAGATTCGAACTGCCGACCTTTCAGCCAGCAAGTTCAGCAGCTCAGCAGTTTAACCTGCAGCACCACTGGGAGCTCCATTATGCAATGAAGTGTCCATCAATTAATCATTTTGCTTATCTCTTAAGTTTTCCCAAAAGTGGGACTCAAGTGAGTTTATAGAATAACTCTGAAGTTTTAGATCTGTTTAAAACAATCAACCACATTGCTAATTTAAAGAAAAATATAAAAGATTCAGTCCACCAACATACATTCCAATTAGTGTTACAAGCCTGTGGGACTTACAACTCTGTAATTCCAGAAGATAATGAGGACATGTATTACTTTATCTGTTAAAAAGCACATTACTCATTTCTCCAGTAATTATACAACTGGTTAAGAAAGATTTCTAAATATGGTATACATAAGGAGAGATTTAACAACTATTTAACAACTATTTCCTGGTACAAGAAAACAACATCCTCCCAGAATTAATTTTTTCCAGCTGTTGTCCAAAAAGGGCTAACTTAACCATAGGGGAAGTTTCCTAAGTGAGCACCTCTGCTAAAAAGAATCTGTTCACATAATTCTGAATTCATAAATACATAAAATCTATTTGGGCCCTTCTTGTGGATTAGAGCAAAAGCTTAATATAGGGCCATTATCTCAGAAGCTAAAATATAAGTTGTTTTTTTTTTTTTAAAAAAAAACTATTATTATTATTATTATTATTATTATTATTATTATTATTATTATTATCATGTTTCTGACTCTAGGATTGCACTAAAATTCAGATGCCAGCTTGGTTAGATTCTGCACACAAAAAAAGCGAGGGGTGTCATATTTGATCAGCCTTATTGATTTAATTCTCTGTTATTTTTCCGTCATGAAGAGCATGATCAAAATATTATTTTGTGTTTGTTAGACTAAGGCTCCAATTATACTTTATATGTAATTACTAAAATACTGTTTTCAACATAACAAAAACATAAATAGGAATATTACTTCAGGAGCATAAAAGTTTACAGTAGAGGGAGTGCCGTTTTACATTTGAAGCCTCACAGCTTGGACTCGGTTATGCAAAATATAGAAGCAGGAAAAAGGAAAAAGATAAGTCCCTCCTGCTAGGAAAAAACAGCATAAGAACTCCCAAATTTAAGTAAGTAAGTTAAGTTTATTGAATAAGTCAATAGACCATATCAAGCAGCTTCCAGATGTGTTTAGTAATATGCATAGATTTTTCTTCCAGTTAAAAGTTGATGTTACTATACTAGTGATAACTTCAAAGGGTTTTAAAAAAATACACACAAATATATGCTTAAAAGGGATTCAGTACACAGAGGTCTTTGATAATGTAATGCCATACAAATACACAAAACAACCATGAGCTCCTTTCTCCACATCAATATGGTACCATTGTCTGCCTTCTGCTCCATTCCTACTTTATGAAAGTATATCAAAGTGGTTCCCATTTACATTTTAACTCTAAACCTTTATGAAAATATTACAATACGCAAAACTATAAATACCTTAAGGCTTCCACTCCAGAGATCAAGTATGCTCTCTATTTGGGTTACTCTTTCATCTGAAAGGCTTAGATCAGTCACATTTGACTCCTGAAGATCCCTCTGAATAGATGAGGACTCTTGAGAAGAACTTTCTTCTGAATCAACAGGGCAAAGTCCTTCCATATCTGTGCGTGTTGGCTCCTTTATTGCTGTTAAAACAGATGGGTTTTTTTTTTTCAAAAAATAATAATGAAATTCTGATATCTGTTATTGGATTGCAGTGAACTTCTGAGGGCAAAATGGTAAAACATCCAAACATCCGGGCATTCCGTGGGCAACGTCTTTGCAGACGCTCAATTCTCTCACATCAGAAGCGACTTGCAGTTTCTCAAGTCACTCCTGACACACACACAAAATTATATTAAACAAACTATAAACCAATCCAATTACACATACACATAAAGTGCATACGATCAAGCAGGCTCTTAAGAATGTCCACTGAATGTCACAAGACTTTGCTATTTTTGCTGCAACTGGCTAACACAACTCTGTTAGAAGTTACAAAAGATTTTGCCTTTGGAAACTGATGTTTGTAACTCCTGAAACCTGCTGAAATGAAAGAGGGGTACTTTTTGAAGGCAACAATTTTGTTTTCTCTAAATGTTTGCCTTTGACACAGTGAAAATATGCCTTTGACACTGTGAGGGGCTAATTTATTACAGGAAAAAGCTAAAAGCTGATACTACATTTTATACAAGTATTAACCCTTGTTTATCCCTATCGCCGTGCACACATTCCGCAAACATACACAACCACTGTGCACACAAAGTTTGCACATAGTTCTGAACAAGACAGGGAGATATGTGGTATAAAAGAGAGAGTCAGTTCAAATCCCTATGTAGGTAGCTGTCTCAGCTTGGGTGAAAAATCATAGCTCAGTATAACTATTTTTATTTGTTTGTTGTAGGAAAATCATTATCCCCAGTCTGCTTGATCTGTACATTAAGCTGAATGATAAAACAGCAGTTATACCTTCTATCCTTGTTGTCCGAGTACATGGTACAAAATCAGGAGTTCTCCCATGTTTTCTCCAACTTGGGCCTGCAGTTTCATGTCTGCGCCCATCCATTACTGGACCTTTTCCTGGTTAAAATATAAGAAATGATTAGGTCTGGACAAGCTAGTTCAAAGTTCTCCAATATTCTACACTTATTAATGTCATTGATTTCAACCATTTATATTTGCATGTTCGATCCAGTAACTGGTAATTTTTTAAGATCTCCAAAAACAGAAAGAAAGAAAGTTAGACAATGACCAAAATGGCCATCACTTCCCTAGTTTTGTCAGAAGGGAAGTGATGCCTGGATGAAAAAACTATGGCTATAATGAAGTGTAATTATATGGAGTAATGTTATCAAAATAAATGGAGCTGCATAAAGGTTTGTGGATGCGGTGATGGTGGTTGAAGATCAAGCTACACATTTCCCTCAAGAATATGCAGTCTTATGTAAGGGATATTTTCCCTGAAAGGAGCATTTGGATAACAAATAAAATAATTGTCATTCATTACATTCTAACAGAATAAGAACAAGCTCCTACTAACAATGTAATTTTAGCAATATCCTTCAAGGATCAGAGATAGTAGTCGGCTTCAAGACTGGCTCAATTAACTACAGATGTTCAAAACCTAAAGGCCAGCACCTGAGAAAGAAGCCACATGACCGGATGGAGGTGAGTCACCATGGCTTAGTAATTTATTACATCTATCTTATAGGCTTGTAAATTTAATTAACTAAGTCGATAACGCTGGACAGGAAATTAAATGTTCGTGTTACAGTATTGAAATGATAGATTTAACACTGCAGCATACTTTATTCTGGCATTTCTTACAGGACTTATCCCTAGATCAGTGAAGCTTGTTATTAAAAAATGAAGTTCTCTTACTATAGTAAAATAGATCTAAACAATAAAACAGATTTTTTTTCAATTTCCATGTTTTGGAAAACCATTACAACCCCTGGATGTCCACATTACCACTAACAATACAATCTGTAAGATGATAGCAAACCCCAAAACAGAGTTCACTTTTTAATAAAAAGCTGGAGAGTATCACAGAAGATCAGGTAGATTAAAAACTCATTTAACAAAATGTAACAGATTCAGGATTTGCTAAGCAGGGAACAGCAGGGGTATGCTCCACCTTACCCATTTTTCTGTTTCTTGAGGATCTTCATGATTTTGCTATCAAGATTTAATGGCACAACCGTGAGGAAAATAGCACTTTCCCTTGAAGTGCACTTGCTTTTAAGTGTAAACAATGCGGTCAATGCTTTCTTTGCAAACAGATCTGTGGTTGGGTTGCTCTAAGTTTTTCGGGCTGTATGGCCATGTTCCAGAAGCATTCTCTCCTGACGTTTCACCTGCATCTATGGCAAGCATCCTCAGAGGTTGTGAGGTCTCTGGTTCTCTGGGGTTTGCAGGAGTATACATCTATATACGGAGCAGATTAGGCACCTTGTTCAAATGCCAAAAATGTCACTTTTAAGATGTACTTTGCTTGCCCCTGTGGCACTGAATTTTGGCAGGAAAATCATTAAGACAAGATCCTGGGGAAGAAGGGAGTTGCCCTTGGATCCATGGAAGTAAATGCTTTGACAATTCAGGCTTTAAAAATTGATGCCAACCCAGATTGCAATGCCCAATTCTACTTTCATAAGCAAAAATTCTTTAAAAATCAATTTCTGTTTCATTCTATTTCATTTTATTTTCAGCCCCTTTTACATTCCAACCCTCTCTATGTAAGGCTTTCCATACCCTTCCTTTGATATTTGCATGCAGCCTTTAGAACAGTGGTTCTCAATCAGTGGGTCCCCAGATGTTTTGACCTTCAACTCCCAGAAATCCTAACAGCTGGTAAACTGGCTGGGATTTCTGGGAGTTATAGGCCAAAACACCTGGGGACCTACAGGTCGCGAACCAGTGCTTTAGAAGTTCTGGACTAAAGGAAAATGGTCAACCGCCGCAATCTTTATTTTTATGTTAGCCATGGCAGATATCAATGCCTGTCCCTAGGTACAAAAAAATATGAAAATAGGGGAAGACAACAAAAGGTAAAAATAAATCATTTTTACATGTATACTACATTTATTTCAACAAAATTAACAAAGCTTCCATTGTGAACAAATTATAGGCAAAGCTCAGGCTCTGATAAGTCTAAAGAAATATAGACTTTCAATGTTCAATGTCGGATTGCAGCCTGATGTTCACAGTACAACATGAGGCTGCAATCTATGCTGGAAAAGAAACAGGATTTTACTCTAGTAATCAATAGCCGCCTCCAAATTCCCTTACTGAAAATGCATGAAAAGCCCAACAGAGAGAACAAGAGAAGGCAGATATGCCTGTCTCATCAGATCACCTCAGAAGCAAAGATCTCGATAAGTTTAGCTACCGAGACAGAAATCATTTGTGGAGATTGGGGGGGGGGGGCAACCCTTATGTATTTCTGCTTCTGGTACTAAATTTTCTGTTCAAGATGGAATGCCCAAAGACATACACATTTGTTAATTGAGGTACACCTGTAATGTTATAAGCTTGTGTCATCTCCCCTTCAAAAGACACACTATATCTTTGCCAGGACCTTGGGGCAAGAAGAGGATGAGGGGGAGAAGGGTTTTCTTCCAACAGCAGAATCCGAGCCCCAGGTGGATTAGCAACCTGACACTGTAGAGATTGCTACTGCTGAGCATGACCAGGACCCTCCAGGAATAGAAGCACTTGAGCCTGAGGCTCTTCAGGAGAAGGAGCAGATGTTAACTCTCCCCAACTGGCTTCAATTTAGGGTTGATGTCATTCAGATGCGAAGGTCCAATCGGCTGGCTCAAAAGAGAATCTTGTTGCTATAAGGACTTTTCAGGAGCAGCATAAAGGGTTAGAGTTCATAACGGTTCATTGCTGGAAACAATTGTTGTGTTGTTGCTCTAGCCGGTAATCTTTGGTGACCCTTGTGTCCTGAATCTCAGACTATACTCTTTAAATTTTGGACTTGGACTTTTTGGTGAGACTCTGCATTTGACCTTTTGGACTGGACACTGGTACTTTGCTTGCTCCTTTTGCCTTGGACAGGTTTTGACTTGAATCTTGGACCACCTCTGACCACGCTTTGGAAGAAAGGTTGCCAACCCCCGACAATCTTTTATCAGAAATACTTAGTACCAAAAGTCTTTGGATTTCAGGTTTTAGAATACGTCTTGGGGATGGAGCTTCAATAGCTATTGGTATACATTGTAACCCCAGATGTATATCTCTATTAAAAAATAAACCCTGTTCATTTTAAAAAAATTATTCAATCAAACAAACATACCATCGCTTGTATAAAGACATATGCAAATAAACAAATTACATGAAACACAAAAAAGAATCATTTCTACAACAACAAAACTACTAAACCAAACCAATACATAATAGCATGCACACGAAAGCAAAACTAACCAGCAAACATAAAAACTAATCTACCGACCTCTTACCCTCTATTTGATGATTTCTCTAGTTCTGAATAGTCTACTCCCTTAAAAATATATTATATATTCACACTACTACATTTCATAACCTATTAATAAAGGTAAAAGTTTTCCCTTGACATTAAGTCAAGTCTAAACACACAATATTCATTTGTGTTTCATATACATCTTCATTTTTAAGCCAAAGAGCCGGCGTTGTCTGTAGATGCCTCCAGGTCATGTGGCCGGCATGAGTGCATGGAATGCCGTTACCTTCCGGCCAGAGTGGTACCTATTGATCTACTCACATTTACATGTTTTCGAACTGCTAAGTTGGCAGAAGCTGGGGCTAACAGCGAAAGTTCATCCTGCTCTCCAAATTCAAACTGCTAACCTTTCAGTCAGCAAGTTCAGCAGCTCAGTGGTTTAACCCGCTGTGGCACCGGGGGCTCCCTTATACACACAGCATAAAGATAATTTGATATACAATATTGTGCATAAAACAAAGCTTATGTATCACTGAATAATCAGAAAGTTTAGGTGTCCCTCTCTCAGCCCGCAATGCAGATAATTTTGGAGTGTTTTAGATCTCTGAATCCAGGATAAGGAAAGTTTAATCTGTATCACTCTGATAATCATCTTGTTACCTTTCGTTCCTCAAGAGCTAGAAGCTATTCCATTTTGTCCATGTTCACTGACTAAAGGGTGATCTGGAATCATCAATGGGATAGGCTCAACTAAGTAGCAGTAAAGCGACTGTGTTCACCAGGTTTTCACAACCTTCTAAAAGTATTTTGTCATCTACACTTGGACTCTTTTACACTACAACTAAATAAAGCTTACCCTGAAAGAGTAACTAAAAGAGCTTTCTCGCCATATGAGTATCCAGTAGCGGAGCATCTTGCAACTGTTCTGAGAACTGTTTAGAATTCTAGAGTCTTGCAATTATTTGAATCTTAGCAGTTTCACCAACATACACAATCTCTTGTTGAAAAGATGTACAAAAGCAAAGCATCCTCAACCAAATTTTTTGGGACAAGGACTATTTACAGCTTCACAAGAGCTTCTTTGCATGTGCTGATCTGCTGTAATAGCTGAACAATATGGCATTATTATTTGAATGTTTTATTTCCAACAAAGAACTAAAATGTGGATCTGATTTTGGATGAATGCAAGATCTCCCTATTTAACTCATGGTTACTGAAAGTGCTTAATAGTCGAAATCCATTGCAACTCTTGTAATAGTGTTGGGACTTGGGGACCTTCCATTACGCAGCTTTCCTTCATAATGAGAACTCATGCTCTCATGCTTCACAGATTCTCAATGCTTTGGAGCCCTTAGAGTACATTAGGACTGCAGGAGGGAGAGAGGACTGTATCTCTCACACAGGGAGAAGCACATTGACAGTACTGCATACTGGCTAGTATGTATAAAAATAAAAAGAACATACCGATAAGTTCAAAATCTAAAGGAGAGAAGAAATGGGGTAAAAGGAACACGGGTGTGTGTTACAAATACTGGGAGAGAGGGAAAAGCTGAGGGGCAATTTGATTTAGTGTTTGGTTCAGTGACATATTCAACGAATGATTTCTTGCCTTATCCTAGAATCATAGAATCAAAGAGTTGGAAGAGACCTCATGGGCCATCCAGTCCAACCCCCTTCCAAGAAGCAGGAATATTGCATTCCCTATCTTAATGGAGGAAAAATCACATATGCTGTTCTAAGCTCCTTGGATAAAAGGTAAGCTATAAATGTAACAAATAACAAAGTAGAAGAGAATGTTAAGAAATGTAGTAAGTCTAGGAATAGAAGACAATAAACACGAGCTGTAAGTTGGGGCTGCCCTTGGCAGCTAAAGCCAGATTTGTGTTGTTAAGTCCCTGCCGCCCCTCTCCTATCTATGATGATCTGGAATGGCATTCAGTTTATTAAGCGAGTCCTACTCCATATCCCTAAGATTATATTTTTGTTACTGATCTTATGTTATACCTTTGCAGTTGGCCTGTGAATGTTGTCTTCTTTTATTTCCACCTACAATTCAGAGGGGATTGTTCCAGTGGTTGCCAACTGAGATGTTTCAAGTGCTGTGACACCCAGCACTAAAATGGTCTCTTGCAATCTTCCTTTCTCGGGGGAGAAGCTGGAAATTTGGGGGACACTGGCAAGACCCAAATGTTTCAATCTTTGGGTTTGCTTTACTAGGAAATAATTGAGTTATTTACCTATATATACATGTGTATAAGCCAACCTCGTGTATAAATTGAAGGTTTTGGGTCCAAAATAGTGAATTTTGATATGTCCCATGGATAAATTGAGGGTCATTCCACAGAGACAGAAAAAAAACGCCCATGTCATCCCTGGCCACCACTACCACCATTTTCCCACCCAGAAATTCTAAAAAGTTTGCTCCACTCTACTCAGAAAAGGTGATGGTTACTTTTTTTGATAAAAGTTAAGGTACAGTGGCAAAAAGCAAGGACTTAGACTGTTTGAAGAGTTCTTAAAAGAAGAACAAATTATTTTGTGAGAAGCATCACCACAACAATTTTTCCATTTAGGCATTCAAAAAGGCCAGAAATGATGCAGTAGCAGAGAGAGTAGAGGGCATTAATGCTTCTTTTAGATTTTTGTAGAGCAAACTAAACTCTTTATCGCTCAGAGAACAGGATGGTTCCTTTTTTTAAAAAAACTTGGGCCTAAGTTGACCCAGGTTTTTTGGGTTGATTTTTTAAATTAAATGTTCTAAATGTATGCACAAGTATATGCAATAGATTCTTTGGGCTACTAACTGCCTCCTGGCAGCTTCTTCCCCCTTCTCTAGTTCATAGAGAATGGGGTGCATAGCTGAGGTTGAATTTCTTTCCCCTGTTGCCAGAGACGAAATTACACTAGAATGTACCACAGATTCTTAATGTAGGAAAACACAGGAACCTGCCTCATTCTGAGACTGACCTACTGAACTATGGATTTTTGACACTGGACGGTAATGATTATAAAGGATTTCAGAAATGAATCCTTCCAGGTCCCATTTGAAATTTTTGAAACTATCATCATATGGTGACAATTTAAATAGAAAAATAATTAAAGGAAAAAACTTTAGGGTGGAAATAATACATAAATTTCAAAGACAGAATTTGAAAATGCTACTTTTCTGAGAACTGGATGATTGTGGGAGGTGTAGTGCAGAAATTAATGTTGTCAGGCTGTGTGAATGGAGTACATGAATATGAAACTTTTCTTCTTTTTCTTATCATCCAGGGAAAATCCCAGCACCAACCAGTAGCAGCCAAGAAAGTCCTTTTTGCTATGCTCAAATTAGAAACAAACCTCCCAGGCATTTAAACACTAAAAGAGATACTAATGCTCCTTTGTACATGTTTCCTTTTCCCCAAGGCTTGCTTTCTAGACAAAAATAACCAGTATTCCTTTTTATTCTACTTAAGCTATGTCTGAAATATAAAGCAGAAGCGAAAGATCACATGATCATCATTGTGCTTCTGTGTCAAGCTAACAGAAGGCAGACCCATTTATTTGGAGAAGTGAGAGTGTATTCCCAGCATTAAACTATTGTATATATGAGTCAAATATATTCAAGAATTACTGTATTTCGTAGATTTCGTGCAATTCTTTCCATTTAAAGCCTTTTCTAGTTTTGTTTTTGCTCACCGAAACAAAGCTTTGCGATTTTGAATAAAAACAATAAAAATTTGAACTATAAGGACGTCACACTTTTTGAAAGCCTTGAAAGATTAGAGGGATTGAAGATAAATTAAAACTGTTTCATATTTTTAAAGGAGTAGATATTGATGCAAATACTGTTTTAAGAAAAACCTCAGGAAATAAATTCATAGCTAGAAAACAATGACTAAAGCAAATTAATAAATATCAATCACTTTGCCTTTCAAGTAGATGATACCCCACAAAACAAGGAACATAATGACCTGATATGAAGATCTGTGTTTATTTTGCCAGAACTGATCTACTTGGAATAGGAAATGTGTAAAAAATATATGTGATACACTAATATGTACTGTGAAATTTCTTTGAAATAAATCTTATTATACAGTAAATGTTATGGCAAAGGAAAACTACCAGTAGAATTTAAAAAGTTGCCCTGAAGATCAGTGAGTATATTTCAAAGTAATTCTGATCTGAACTATGAAAAGGGCTTTTGTTTTGATGACTGAACATGTGCTGTGCTTGAAGAAGAGTTTTGACACAATATCCCACTTGCATTCTATTGTATGTTTCTCAAAGATTGATGCTCTTGAAATAAACTAAGGAAAATAGCATGGCAGAATAAGAAAAAAATATTCTAGAATGTTTTGCATATGCTCTTCATACGCTTCATATGCTATGGTATCACCCACAGCATATGCAATATCATACCACATATGCTGTGATACCATTCTTGAGAAAAGGCACACAGCATAAAAGAAAAACAAACAAACAAACAAAAACAAAACAAAAAACCCAACAACGTTTTAAGCCCCAAAGGGAAAAAGGAGTGATACACTGAGGCACCTGAAGGCCAAAGGGAAGGAATTGGACTATTCCACCCTTTTAAATTTTGTATCAAAAGCATTGCATTTTTTTTTTATAAAACTGATAAAAATAGAAGTGGCTAAATATCTTTTGACCAAAAACAGGCAACAGTAACCGTATTATCTGTAGCCTCCAACAATTCTTCCTCTGTACATGAGGCAAGGTATAGTCGACAAGCATACAGATACGGAGTTGTCTGTTCTGCTCCACAGTCACACAAAGTGGATGATTCTTTTACGTAGTGCCATTTTGCCAGGTTGTCTTTTGATCTGACCACTCCACTTCTGAGTATGTTCAGGGACTTCCTAGTTGCCCGTTCTGGTTTGCCCCTAGAGGCAGACCCTCGTGGGGGGGGCATCTAATTGGGATGTCCTGGTTTAGCTGCCCAGAGGGATACTCTTGCTGTTGCTGGGGGAACATTAAGAGGAGTGGTGGTTCTCATGAAGCTTTTCGTTGATTTGAGTCTCCTGGGAGGAGACTGATAGCCATGCAGTTGATGGATTTCATAGTGTTCAACCTCATTTCTCTCACAGTTACCAGCAACTTCCTGTCACACATCAGGGTAGGGGGCAATGCTAGCTAGCTTGTTAGAGTTTATTAACAGGTGTAGGTTTAAGACATCCTGTGATTATTCTGCATGTTTTGTTCAATGCTATATTCACCTGCTTTGAGTGGGCAGACTTGTGCCAAACAGGGCATGCATACTCAGCAGTTGAGTAAGACAAGGCTAGGGCTGATGTTTATTAATTTTGGGTCTGCACCCTCATGTGTTGCCAGTAAGTTTCCACAGGACGTTACTGCATGCAGCTACTTTGTGCTTGGGGTTCATGCAGTGTTTCCTATATGTTAGTGTAAGTGTTTAATCTAAGGTGACATCAAGATATTTAAGATGGAAACAATGTTCAGACTCTTGACCTTCCCAGGTAACTTTCAATTTCCTATTGGCTTCACGGTTCTCTAGCTGGAAAGCACACACATGTGTCTTGGCAGGGTTAGGCTTCAGGTGGTTATCTTTGTAATAGCCGGAGAGATCTTTCAAGGAATTAGTAAGTTGGATTTCAACTGTTGCAAAGTCTTTTGCTTGCGTTGTTCGGCCTAGGTCATCAGCATATATAAAGCTCTTTGTGAGTGGTAGGTGTGGCTGATTGTTAGTAAAGATGTCAAACAAGGTTGGTGCAAGAATGCTGTCTTGGAGTAAACTCCTCCATCTACATCTACTTGCCTCCTCCATCTACTTTTCCTGCCTTGAAACTCCACATAGGTTTTTTAGGAGGGTCTGGACAATTTTTGTAAAATGATAGTCCCGGGTAATAGGGTAGACTTTCTGCAGCATTTTCCTATGCTGCACCTTGTCATAGGCTGCCGCAGGATGGGGGGCACAGAAAGAGCCTTCTTGAAGACTGAGGAAATACAGTTGAGAGTCCCCTGGGCAATGTTTCTTGTAAATGGCTAATCTTTCCAAACCCAAAAACATTGTTTTTAAACATTCCACCCTTTGACAAGTATAATATTGCGACAAACAGACTACTGTGCAAGTAAAACAGTGTACAGAAAATCCACTGGTCAATACTGTAACTAGTTCATTCATGTTTAATCAGGGTAATCCATCCTTCCCTGAAACGATATGTGGCAGAACTTCATTCTTTCAGTGGCAAAATCTATTTAGCAGTATCTCTCATTTTAGTGAAAGGTCTCTTCAAAAAACAACTCCAAAGCAACCACCATATGCTGGTTCCGATTACAAGTTACCTGTAGATTTCTGACGAACTTCTGTGTGAGCTGACTGTCGTAATACACTTGGCTCAAACTTTGGAGTAACTACAGCATAACGAAGCAGTTCTTCATATTCATCCTACCATAAAAGGACCACAAAGAATTGTAATGTTGTTACCACTTTTGAATACGAACTGGAAGAATAGACAATTATGATGCTGTTTCAGCCTACATTGGCTGAATTGAAGATGTATACAACTTTTGCAAAAATGTTTTTAATACACACTGCATCGCAATGATTGCACCAAAGTAGCAAGAGGGTTATCAGAGTGGAAAATGGGCTCTAATCAACTACCTGGAGATCCATTTGTGTAAAACCAGTGATAAAAGCAAAACTGTGAGAAGGCCAGAAGGAACTCTGTGAGGAGATAACAACTCCTTGTGAAGAAACCAGGTTATAAGTAATCAAGAACTTACCCACAACACCTACTATAGGTTTGACATGTTTGTTTTTTAAAGCTAACATTTCTGTGCTATTAAACCTCACTATTGGTCTCCTAAGTCAGACATACTTTCATAGTAATTAAAAATAACAAAGAAATGACAGTACTGTCAACACTGATCTTCTTTATATGTTGCACTGACATATATTAGGCTCAAGAAAGAATGTCTGAAAACTGACAAATATATTACAAAACCCCAACAAACTATTTGAAACATATAGTATACTGAGTTACTGAGTCAAATCCAATACCATGCTTCCTCTCACCCCACCCACAGCCCTTGGAGTCTTCTCAAAACTGGCTGTGAAGGTTTTCCTAGTAGTAGAAGGGTAGATACAGTGGGATGTTTCTGCAACAAAGGTGAGGAACCTTCAGAAATGTTGGTACTTTGGAAATTTTAGCTCATAACTTCTATCATCCCTACCCAGCACTGAACATTTAATCGTAGCCAAATGCCAAGTGCTGGCTTCAGCAGCACATATACTAAAACTGGAACACTGTGGTAAAGATACTCTAGTCTAATCCATCTAGAGGTAGAGGATTATAACATAAACCTAACATATTTTTAAGGCCAAGATAGTTGCATTTTTTAATGAGCAATACAATTTCAACAAGTCACATACAGTAGGAGACACTCGCCCTACTTGGATCAAAGACCCTAATCTTACCTGGATCTTCTCTAGTAATAATTTAAAGCACAGGCAAGGAATTGTTGTCACCTCAAGGGTCACAATCCCTCACAGTTGGCCTTCTGTAGTCACCCACACTCACTTTCCTATCTGCCCTGCTACATAACTACAGATAATATACTTTTATCTTCTCTCACATAATACTACCTTTTTATTTTTCAGTTATGCTAGAAAAAAGCTCTGGAATGCAACCACTGGGAAGTTTTCTTAAATCTTACTTGCACATGAGCTGCCCCTGAACAATTAGAAACTTCTCACACAAAGCAATTAAACTTTAAAACAGGCTCTATTGATTCCAGTGGGGAAAAAACAGATGTGTTGAACCAAAGAGGACAGCTACATCTATCACTGACACCAGGGGCAGCTAGTGGTTTTTGTGTCAGGGGTGCAGTGAATTCACGCTGGGTTTCATTCAAGTCTTAAAGGAACTATTCAAGGTGCTATATCTATGAGGGATTGGTTTCAGCACCTTGGATAGTTACTTCTAAGTCTGCAGTTAAACTCAGAGCAGATTCATTTACTGCCTCCTTTGGCTTAGAAACCTCCAGCTGCCCCTGGCTGTCATCCATCCCCCGAATATTGCTAATAGACATAATCATATGGCACTGCAACAAACACTGCTGCCATGGCCTTGACTGATTATACTGTCTGGTGAAGATAGGAGTACAATCCTGGTTCCATTATTCATGATTACAATAAGTCAGAGACCATCAGTACTCAGAAGATAAGATAGTCCATTCTTCCAAGGTTAAGTATTCCAAAAACAACAAAAGGAAGCAATAGATCATTGCACAGCACTTAATTTATATTTCTATAGAAGCTAAAGATAGGCAAAGTGTAGCCTATGAGGACTTTTGGTGGCCCTTCATTTCTTCAGATCCCCAAATTGTCCTTTCTTGGCTAAAAAACAAGGATAAATTGCCTCTCCCGGAAACAATTTTTTTAAGCAAAAACACTGGAGTGGATTTTTAACAATCCATGTAGACTTCAGAGGATCCAAGGAAAGAAAACGTGTTGCAGTTTCCCATCCTCACCTTAGAATAATACCAGATATCTCAGTCCCCTATTCTGATACATAATATGCAATTCCAAATACATAGGTTCTTCTTGACAAATGAATGAAATGTTTCATTAATAAAACTTAGGATATACAGGAAGCAGATCTTTATGTAAATTTGTATACTGGATGAGTGATCTCCGAATACAGTGCCTATGACATCTTTAAAGGAAACATTGCACATGGTTTTTAAACTGTTTTACATTGTTGTCATTCCTTTAAAACTGTTTCAACCTGTTAGTAACAATTGATTTTACCAGTGTACTGCCCTGAGATCTTTTGATACAGGGCAAGATATATATATTTTAAAACAAACAAATAAATTGCACAAAACTAGAAATGTTTGATAGAAGGCAAAGAACTCCAGGCCACAATGCCACTCACTTTGGACACATTACAATTTTTAATTTCTGCCTAGAATTTATTTAGAAACCTACGCCAGCAACAAAGCAAGAGATGAACTTCTGCAAGGAATTCTAACAGAATGACACCATACCGCTTGAGCACAATTTTGAGCAATTGTTGATTCTGAATGAAAAGTAAATAGCTCCTATGATCTATGGCCCGGATTTTGTTGGTAGTTCACATTAGAATAGACTTATTGAACCAGTGGAATTCACATAGGTATTAGCTAACTTTCACCAACTGAATCAACACATATAGTTGGAGCAATTAACAGGAATCAGGTCACTAACTGCTCTCCTACTGGAAGCCCATTTACTTCCAGAAAGTTATTTAGGTTATATAGTTTAAGGATTTGCTCATTAGTCTCAGAAGAACAAATAACATTCCCAAGCTCAGATCTATTTTGGGATTTTTTTCTGTCTCTATGTAGACATAGTGTTGTGTCAACAAACTCATCTTCTTGATCATTTATATTCTTCTTGATGCAATCTATCTAAACATATGAAGGAAAATCATACTTCTAAACTGATCTCCAATCAGTTTAGAGTTAAAATTTTTGAGAAATTAAGGACCAATTTTTAAAACTAGGGGCAACACAGAATAATACACCGTTGACAGCCTGACTAGTTAGGAGACAGGTGAGCTGCTAGGCCCAAGGCAACATCTCCATCCCTCCTTTTGGCTGCGGACTAGAAGGTAAGTCATATGGGAACTTACAAAATAGTTTTGGACAGCACTGCCCAAACCAAAAATAGCCTTCCAAATTATCCTCTACCTTGTTTAAGAGCAATATCACTTTAGTGTTTTAAGGTGAGCTGTTATGTGGCTGCCTCCTGCAGAATTCTGGGAAATGTAGTTGAGAGAGGGGCCTTTGAAATTTTCAGAGAGGTTATTTGTTTCCCTAAACTAAATTTACCAGAATTCTGAAGGAGGCAACCACATGATAGGAAAATGAGAGTGTGTGCTTTACAACGCTAATGTGGTATCGTCCTAAGCCAAGTGAACAGTTTGGCATTGGCACAGGGAGACAAAAACTATTTTCTATTTTCTAGCATCTTATAGCACCCACAACTGAAAGCTATGTTAGATCTAATTCTGGTTTTCTCTACTCTGGAAACGGGGAACGCAAGACTCAAACCATGTTTGCTTAGGCATGGGAAGTACCTATAAGAACAGGGTAATCTGACCTGTAATTACAGTGGACACTTATGCATGGCTGCCAAGGGAACATTTTGACTAAATATGTGCGAGTGCCAGAACGGCAGGCCCACTTTCTACTCTTCCCTCAGTCTAATCAGTGCTATTGATATCTAGAAGATGACAAGCCCCAAAAGATTAAAATCTAAGCAGCAGATCACATTGACAATTATACAACAGTATTTAAAAAAACATGTATAGTTCATTTCATATATGACAGTGCATTAACAAATGAGTAGGGCTTAAAAGATGCAAATAGGTTAATAGTTCTTAACAGATGTACAAGTTCCTCCAAAACACCACTGCTAGCCTACCTGTAGTTCTGAAGAGACAGAACTGCCTTGATCAGAGTCTTTAGGCAAAAAAGGACTTGTGCTTTTCTCTTCAGAAGATGACATTCTGCATTAAGAAATTCCTACAAAAAACCCAAAATATGATTTTTTAAAAATCACCAAGAATCCCATTTCTTTCAATTGGCCAACATGCCTCTAATGCAGTGGTTCTCAACCTGGGGTGCCCAGATGTTTTTGGCCTACAACTCCCAGAAATCCCAGCCAGTTTACCAGCTGGTAGGATTTCTGGGAGTTGAAGGCCAAAAACATCTGGGGACCCCAGGTTGAGAACCACTGTTCTAATGGTACATTGTCACAAAATAATTAATATGTCTCAAATAAGAAGCAGCCATTTTGGACAATTCACAAACTTCCCTATCCAGTTTGATTTGTGAGTTGATAGCAGAATATCATCTTGATCTCTCTTCCAAATGAAAGTGACTCTCCAAAAAAATGCAAACACATCCTTCTGCTTGTTATAAGCATATTTTGAAGACAACTGAAAAAGACAGAAATTATGTTCTATATTTTTTCTTTCTTTCATTGTGTCCATATTTAGAGAACCTTGAAATCAAACATCTCTGGATCATGAGGACGCTCAATATTTTAAGTACAACTTGGCTTGTGAACACTTCTGATGATTAAATGCACAGTACCTTAGTCTACAACAGTATTTCTTTCTAGTGGAGCAAAGATATTTATCATAATCTTGGATATTATCTTTAACTGTGTAACTCCCTCCAGAGCAGGCATGGGCAAACGATGGTCCATGGGAAGAAAAAGCAGGCTACACCTTCTTCTGCAAGGGACTGCCAGAAGAAGAAGGAAGAATATACAGGGTCGACTTTGCTATTAGAAATGCCCTGGTGAAGCATCTGTCTGAAGTACCCATCGGCATTAATGAACGACTCTCAACCCTCTGAATTAACCTTGTCAAAATCCACAGGCAAATATCATAAGTGCTGTGCACTAACACGAAATGGTAATGAAGACATGAAAGAAAATTTTTACTGTCTGTCAGCTGGACACCATTATGTAGGAGATACCTAAGGAGGACAAAATCATCCTACTGGGTGATTTTATGCAAGAGTTGGACAAGACTTTGATCTGTGACCAGGGATCATAGGAAAAGATGGGGTTGGAAACAGCAACTAGAATAGCATCCTGCTTTTCACCAAAAGTGCAGAACACAATCTTGCCATCATAAACACACTCTTCCGCAAGAAGAAACAAGCTTAAGACATCACAGAAGAACCCCCGGTCAAATAACTGGAACCTCTTAGACTATGTAATTATACATGCCAGAGACTGCTGCTATATATGCCTCACAAGTGCCATGACAGGTGCTGATGTCTACTGGACAGACCAGAGGTTAATCTGATCTACAATGGCCATCAATATCGCCTCAAATGCAGACTCCAAGGAAAAAAGATAAGGCGAAAAATGGACACCCAAGCCCTTCAAGAGCCTTCCAAATGAGCCCTTCTCTAAATAACACTCAAGGATCATCTACCTATAGAACACCCTGAAAATGTTGAGCAACATAGGAATAAACCGAAGACCTCCATTATCACAGTCTTTGAAGAAACCACTGGATACCTAACTAAGAAACATCAAAACTAGTTTGATGAAAATGATAACGAGATCCAACGATTAATTGATAAGAAAAGGAAAGCCTTCCAAATATGGCAGACATCAACTGCGCTACTAAGAAAAAGATCTATGTCAGTGCAAAAGCTGAGGTCCAAAGAAGGACCAGAGAACGCAAGAACACCTCTTAAACAAAAAAGGCTCAAGAAATACAAAACTTTGCAGAAGTCCATAAAGCACGGGGATTCTTCAATGCCACAAAGGTCATCTATGCCCCAAGAAACCATGGCATACACCCCCTACATTCATCAGATGGAACCAAACTCCTGAATATTAAACAGATCAATTGTATTGGAAAGAGAAGTACCACAACCTCCTTAACCGCAGCTCCAACGTGGCCAAAGAGGTTCTCTCGCAAATCCATCAACAATAAACGAGGAATGAGCTTGCAGCACTGCCTAGTTTAGAGGCAGTCAGCAAAGCCATCGCCCAACTAAAAAAAAACAAATCCAGCGGACCTGATGGGGTCCCTACTGAAATCTTTAAAGATGGGGGACCTGAGCTGACACAACAACTCCACCAGATCATTGAAAAAGTGTGGGCAACTGAGAAAATCCTCGTGTTGCCTCTGAAAATCCTGCTAATCTCTTGGGAAGACAGGCAGACAAATGTCAGCATGCTGGAAGAAGCAAAGAGCACCAGCATTGAAGCGATGCTCCTCCGCCATCAACTTCGCTGGACTGGCCACATTGTCCGAATGCTCAATCACCATCTCCCAAAGCAATTACTCTACTCTCAAGTCAAGAATGGAAAACGGAATGTTGGTGGACAGGAAAAGAGACTGAAAGATGGGCTTAAAGCTAACTTTTAAAACTGTGGCATAGACACTGAGAAATGGGAAACCCTGGCCCTTGAGCATTCTAACTGGAAGTCAGCTGTTACCAACTGTGCTGTGGAATTCGAAGATGCATGGATGGAGGGCGATAGGGAGAAATCTGTAAAGAAGAAGGCATGACAAACCAACCCTGACTGGGACCGCCTTCCACCTGGAAATCACTGTGGAAGAACATGCGGATCAAGAATAGGTTTCTACAGTCACCTAAGGACCCACTGCCAAGATACTACACTTGGAAGGCAATCATATTTGGACACAAGTGATCGGCAATGATGACTGTTTCACTGGACATTTGATCAGTTTCAAAATTGCCATAACTTCTTTTAATCTCTTGTTATTTTATTGTACTATTGTGCTGACATCTTAAACTTTGAGAAACATCTTTGAGAAACTTCTTGAGCAGGCAAGCGATTTATACTTTTAATAAAATTATCTTATCTTCAATTCCATGACACTATTAAACATCACACAGCAAAGTAAGTGTACAAAAATAATCCATCTCAAAAATAGTTAAAATAAAGTAATAAAATGTAGATGCATTAAAATTGCTTTATCTCGAGGCAAATACTGACTCCTGTAGTTCATACCTGGCTTGTTCCAGACATATAAAAATAAAGTGAAGGACTCCTATAGATTCAAGATGAAAACTCAGTTTTCAATTTTGACAATTCTGCTACTGTTTCTTTTGGATTTTTTCTTTCTTCTGGCGCCCAACTGTGTTTTTATTGCTGTTTGGTTATTACTGATAATTATTTTCTGTTTCATTATTTTCTCATATTGTTTGGTTATTTGCTTTTTAATCCTTTTTGTTCAAAAGAAAAATAATTTTCAACAAATTAACAAGGGCTAGATATCAAAGGAACAAAATGAAGCAATAAAACTTGAAGGAAAACAAAAGTGGAGAAAATCTTAATAAAGGGATTTTTAATTGAAAGCTCATCTCTGTGGCATTCGTATTTGCAGTGTACAAGTAAGACTTCCATAAAAAGCATATCACTTCCCTTACAAGTTAATGGGAAATAAGATAGCCTTCACTGCAGAATAATCTCACTAAGGTTCTTATAATATCTTAGTGATGCTAATGCAGGTCCAGTATTCTATTCTCCACATATGCTGTGGGCTTTAAAAAATCCCTCCAAGTTATAAATACTTCAAGTTATAAATACAGGTCAGGACAGAATGCTTCTAGAACATGGCCATACAGCCCGAAAAACCTACAACAACCCAGTGATTCCGGCCATGAAAGCCTTTGACAATACATTAATACAGGTCTAGCCTACAGGTCCAGTCTGCAGGCTAAGAACCTAAATTGCACTACTGCAGAAAAAGCCATTTAAGGTCACGGGAACAGAGTCTGCAGACCTTGATTAAGATTAATGGAGTAGTTTACTGCTCTTGGGGATGACTTACTCAAATGAAGGTATGAACAGCTTGCAGAATACAACAGCCTCCCAGCTGTGTTCTTGATTTAAGATTTTATTTTTATCAGTATAAAATGTTGCTTAAGGCTAATACATAGCAGATGTGAAAATCCATAATTAATCCAGACATAAACAATTAGGTAAATGAAAAACATAGACAGAGTATTGCACATTGTGGCCAAAACAGTCCAATTATTATTATTATTATTATTATTATTATTATTATTATTATTATTATTTCACAGTCAATTAAAAGGCTAAAACCCACAACAAATAACCCCATAACATCCCAACCCCATGATTTCTCACAATCCCTATCAACACAAACTAGCAGCTAACCCAGGCATGAAAAACGTTTTTGCCCTGGGCTGGGCCAGAAGGACCAGGCTGGGGTGGGGGTGGAGAGGAGGCAGAATGGGAGGGGTGGGGCCAGGTCATCCTCAGACTGTCCTCCCAGCATAAGGATGGGGCTGCTTGCTCCATCCTTATGCTGGGAGGAGGGTGAGGCTTTGGAGCTTGCTTAGCTGCCGCCTGCCTAGTCCCCTGGCCATGCTTCTCCCAGCATCAGGACGGGGCCGCTCACCCCATCCTTATGCTGGGAGGGGACCCTGAGGAAGGCACGTAGCAGGCTAAGAGCACTCTAGGGAGCTTCCAGCCGCCACGTGCCTTCTTCCCCCGTCCTTTCTCACAAAGATGCATTATTATGCCCATAGGGCAGGGAAAATTTGGAGGACTGGGCATAAGTGCCCAGAGGGCTGTGTCCAGCCCGCGGCCCTTAGTTTGCCCATGCCTGGGCTAAGCTCTGTTCCCCGTTTAAAAAATAAAACCAAACCAAACAGTGAAATAATTAAACACATATGCAGCATGAAAAACACAGCTGACTTTCCCCCACCTCAACCTAATGTAACTATCAAATTATTACATGCACTTATTGTTCTAATGTTTAAATTAATATTGGAATATTAAGTTTAATTATTTTAATATTATTCATAGTTATGAATTAATTTAATACATATTCAAGATATGTGTCTATGTAGTAAACAGGCCATATATTAACAAGAAGCCTATAAAGTAGCTCAGTTTAGTCATCTCATATTTTATACGAGGGACTAAAATTGCTTATGGCCACTAACTTTTAAAAACAAAAAATAGTTAATTGGTTAATGTCTCTCGCCCCTCCCAAATTCATTATAATAAAATAGCTAGGATTTTGTTACTGTTTCATTTGATTTGCCTACAACCTCAAATATCTATTTGAGGAACAATTTGTGCATTTCTTAAATCAATAAGTATGTCAACTCATATGGTTAGGGAAAAGTTGAATATGTGAATTACTAATCAACAACAGACACCATAATGAAGAAAGAAGCAGCAGCAGCAACCATGACAGATATGTAGGTGGCTTAAGCAACTGGGTCCCCTTCCACACAGCTGTATAAAATCCCACATTATATGGCAGTGTGGACTCAGATAACCCAGTTCAAAGCAGGCATTGTGAATTATCTGCCTTGATATTCCAGGTTATATGGCTGTGTGGAAGGGCCCTAGGTCAGCAGACTTAAACATTTACCTTTAGGATGCATCATTTCCTGCCTGATATCAGAAGCTAATTAGGCTCAGACCTGGTTTTCAGTTGGAAGGGAGACAGCCACGGAATGCCAAGATTGCTCCAAAGCAATCTGACTTAAGGTGAACCAGATTTTCTGGGGCTGAGTGTGTGCGACTCGCCCAAAACTACCAAGTTATAGTTATGAGTTATAGACCATATTCAGAGGAGAGTAAAAACAAACCACTCTTGAGCATTCCTTGCCTAAGAAAATTCAATGAAATGTATGAATTGTCATATATCAACAGGGAATCTGAAGGCATTTAACATTATTTAATTATTTAAATATTAATTATTTAATATTAATCCTCATTGAGATTAAAACTGCCTCTTCCCTGTTATCTTTCAAGAACCCGTTGATGACCAACCTGTTCAAGCAAGCTTTTGATGAATGAATTCAATTGCTAATGACAGCAAGGTCAATTTGCACTGAACTTAGCTAAACATACTATTTAATTGATGAGTCTCCGTGATTACTGTAATTGCTTTTAAATGTTTTTAATGCTTAATATTTATTTATCTTACTTCTTAATATTTATTTATATCTTAGTGCAATGACCAATGACTGTTTACGGAAAACAGTACGTCTCTGTGTGATATGTTATGTTATTTTATGTGATGTATTTAATAATGTTTTATTAGGGGAGAGTCAATTTAATGTTTTATACTATTTTTATCGAGGGCATTGCATTGTTGCTAACACTGTGAACCGTCCTCAGGCCCCTTCGGGGTTGAGAAGGGCAGTATTCAATCATCGCAAATAAAGAAATAAATAAATTTCCAGACGTTATTACACTTTGTGTGATTTCTGTCTTGCATTTTATGGTAAATGTGCTTTGATTTGTATTGTATTATGTTGTGAGCCACTTTGGGTCCCATTTGGGAGAAAAGCGGAATATACTTGGGTTTACTGTGTATGAGCCAACAGTGGCACAGCAGGTTAAACCACTGAGCTACTGAATTTGCTGACCAAAAGGTCAGCGGTCTGAATCCAGGGAGTGGGGTGAGCTCCCACTGTTAGCTTGTGCCTACCTAGCAGTTCGAAAACATGAATAAATAAGGCATTTGGTTAATCGGTGCAATGAATGTGATGATTACAGGAATGGTAATATGGACGACGAAACTGGATCACGATTTTAGTCATGAGATGCATTGGGTTGTTATTGTTGTGTCAATATTGTGTATTATGCTTTTATGGTTTTAAATTGTATATTGTTGACTGTTGTACCTTTGTTGTAAACCGCACTGAGTCGCCTGTTAGGCTGAGAAACTGCGGTATACAAGTAAAGTAAAGTAAAGAAATATTATTGTTATTATATTACAGTTACTTGGCTTTACTGTGTATGAGCCACCAGTGGCACAGCGGGTTAAACAGCTGAGCTACTAAACTTGCTGACCAAAAAGTCAGCGGTTTGAATCCAGGGAGTGGGGTGAGCTCCCGATGTTAACCCCAGCTTGTGCATACCTAGTAGTTCAAAAACATAAAAATCTGAGTAGATCAATAGAATCCAAGCAGCAGGGTGAGCTCCAGCTGTTAACCCCAGCTTGTGCCTACCTAGCAGTTTGAAAACATGCAAATGTGAGTAGATCAATAGCTACGGGAAGGTAACAACGTTCCATGCAGACATGCCAGCCACATGACCTTGGAGGTGTCTATGGACAACGCCGGCTCTTCGGCATGGAAATTGAGATGAGCACCAACCCCCAGAGTGGGACATGACTAGACTTAATGTCAAAGGGAAACCTTTACCTTTGCTGTGCATGAACCAAAATCAATGAATGCTGATGTCCAAACAACAACAACAACATGCTGTCCTTTGTAGAAAGTGGGAACAGAATGATGGATATGAGGAGCCAACTGTGCTAAATGTGTGGGACAGACATGGGCAAACTTGGGCCTGCCAGGTGTTTTGGACTTCAACTCCCGCTTAAGCGGCTGAGGGGGGAAAGGAAAGGGCCTGAGGCTGTTAGGAATGGTGGGAGTTGAAGTCCAAAACACCTGGCAGGCCCAAGTTTGCCCCTGCCTGCTCTGAAGGACCAAAGGTAGAGAACCCACGGAGAACCCTTCCTCACCTGACTCTCCGTCACGCCTCACTCCCACAGCAAAAGAAACCCCGACAGTTTCAAACTGCCAGGGTTAAAAGCAAGGGCTGCTTTTATTGGTCCAGACAGCTTTTTGCTAAAGTCCCGCTGACAGGGCGAGACTTGGCAGCCAATCGGCGCCTTGATCGGGACTTTAGAACGCCGCCTCCAAAAGCTTTCCCTCTCTGGTTTTTGACGCAATGGAACGGCGCGCCTCTCGTGCTCTGATTGGTCCGTTGGCGAGAGCCCGGGCTTGAGAGGCGGGTAATGAGGAGGCCGTTGAGGGAGGGGCGCGTGAGGGCCCAGCACTGAGGCGGGGTGACGTCACTCCCCCAGGAGCTTTGGACTTCAACTCCCAGAAGCCTCAGCCAGGTTGGCCAATGGTCAGGCGTTCTGGGAGATGAAGTCCAAAATGTTTGGAAGGCCAAAGTTGGGGAGTAAGGAATGTTTGTCACTTGTGATTGTTTTGTCATGGCTCTGAAGAGGTGAACCATGGATTTGAAGACAGAGAGACAGAGTTTTGGAGCACAAGACTCCTGACCTCAGAATCATAGAATCAAAGAGTTGGAAGAGACCTCATGGGCCATCCAGTCCAACCCTGCCAAGAAGCAGGAATATTGCATTCAAATCACCCACGACAGATGGCCATCCAGCCTCTGTTTAAAAGCTTCCAAAGAAGGAGCCTCCACCACACTCCGGGGCAGAGAGTTCCACTGCTGAACGGCTCTCACAGTCAGGAAGTTCTTCCTCATGTTCAGATGGAATCTCCTTTCTTGTAGTTTGAAGCCATTGTTCCGCGTCCTAGTCTCCAAGGAAGCAGAAAACAAGCTTGCTCCCTCCTCCCTGTGGCTAGGCCCGTAGCCAGGATTTTGAGTCTGAATGAGAGAGGACCTACAAATCTACAAATGAAGTTTGTTTCTTCTGTCTTGGTGCTAAGCACAATTCCTTGTGAATGCGTACCATGTTATTTTAGAAAAGGGTAATCTATGTTGTTAGAGGAAACAAAATGAAATTTACATTGGCAACAATATTATAATTATATATTTACATTACATGTAATATTACTAATAATATTACAATATAATGGTATAGTGCAATATAGTAATATATACTGATATTGTACTATGCTAATAAATGTTGCTCCGTCTTCCAGACTGCCTCCTTTTTAATTGAATCGCTGGCTTTCTGGTATTTCCTTATGGTGCCATTAAAATACCTCCCCGCTTAAGTGGTACCTAATTATCTACTCACAGCTGTTTTCAATCTGCTAGGTGGGCAGTGAACTGGGCTGAATGTCAGGTGCTCACCCCCGACCCGAGTTTTGAACTGCCAACCTTTTCATTGGTAAGATTTATTGCAGCTGGTGGTTAACATGGTATGCTAAAGCCCAACCCTTATCTTGTTGAATTGTGCCTCATAATATGTATTAAAATATATATTGTAAGTCGCTCTGAGTCCCCTTCGGGGTGAGAAGGGCGGCATATAAATGCCATAAATAAATAAATAAACAAGTTGCATCCTTGACTGTCTGCCCCCTGCCTATAATTTTTGTTAAAATAAGAAGAAAGAAAGGATGCTCTTTAAAGTCCTCTTTGGCCTGTTTTCCCTGCCACAATCACCTGCTGTTTTCAGGGTACACTTGAGATGGAGCTTGGACCACAAGGCCTTGAACTGGAGTCCAGGGACCAACCCTAACTGCCCAAAACTCGTAATCTTTGTATTTCTTGATTATTTATTTATTTATTTATCGTGTCAGGAGTGAAACCAAAACAGTTGTATTGCATTACAAACAAACAAACAAAGAAAACACAAAGTTTGCAGACTTGGTATTCTATTAAATGTCCTTTGACCAGTAGCTGGCCACTTGGAGTGCCTCTGGTGTTGCCGCAAGAAGGTCCTCCATTGCGCATGTGGCAGGGCTCAGGTTGCATTGCAGTAGGTGGTCTGTGGTTTGCTCTTCTCCACACTCGCATGCCGTGGATTCCACTTCGTAGCACCATTTCTTAAGGTTGGCTCTGCATCTCGTGGTGCCAGAGCACAGTCTGTTCAGCGCCTTCCAAGTCGCCCAGTTTTTTGTGTGCCCAGGAGGGAGTCTCTCATTTGGTACCAGCCATTGATTGTGGTTCTGGGTTTGAGCCTGCCACTTTTGGACTCTCGCTTGCTGAGGTGTTCCAGCAAATGTCTCTAGATCTTAGAAAACTATGTCTTGATTTAAGTCGTTGACATGCTGGCTGATACCCAGAGGCGGCCCTAGGTAATTTTCAATGGTACGCAAACAGTATTTTGGTGCCCCCCCCCCCAACCAATCACTGATATATATTTTCTGTTCGTCGTGGGAGTTCTGTGTGCCATATTTGGTTCAATTCCATCATTGGTGGAGTTCAGAATGCTCTTTGATTGTAGGTGAACTATACATCCCAGTAACTACAACTTCCATATGTCAAGGTCTATTTTCCCGCCAAAGCGCCTCAAGAGCGCCCCTGGGCAAAATCAACTATACTGCAAATGCTTACTTTGCGTAATGGGTTGAGCCACCCCTGCTGATACCCAAACGGGGGGTTCTTGGTCCTTTAAAGTAACAAATGTTCATCTGTGCATGTGGGTTTTGCTTTCATGATCCTGTGCAGTTGGTTATAATTATTCAACACTAATCTATGAATTCAATCGTAACTGGCCTTTTACAACTATCCTTGAACCTGTATGGAACACTACATTTATTAATACAAGAGTCCTTGTAACTGCACATATTAAAAAAGAAAGAGTTTTCAATCCAGTGAAACTGATTTCCAGTAAGCATATTTATTGCTTTCCACTCGCTCACTAACTGACTGCTGTAAAGATCTGAAACACCTGTATCACCTCTACAGCCCCTTTAAAATTTAGGGCAAAGGATATGGTTTACATTCTTCTGAATCCTGTTCCATCCGGTGCCACTCGCACAAGTGTATAAATATGCTTTATACCTGAGACCTCAATATAATTTGATATTGCACCTCAAGAAGTGGGTTTACTTCCATGAAAGTTCATTCTGAAATAAAAACCAGTTAGTCTTAAAGCTGCTGCCCTGTTTTTTTTTCTCTTTACCATTCCTTCTTTTTCAACCTTTATCCTTACATTGTTGCTCTTTCCGGTGGCAAGATGGTAAGGACTGAAAATTCTGCCAATACAAATATTTGTTATAACTTCCAGCCCCACAAGATACAGACCAGCTGGCTATCGTAACTCCAACAATGCTCCTTTTGTTTTTCTTACACATTTAAAATTGTCTTTTAAATGAAGAAGTCAGCACATGGTAGCATGATATGTTTTGCACTTCTAGTTGATCTAATAAAGATATTATGTCTATTTCAAATTTTGTTTAATGGTCAGCTAAATCACTTTGGATATAGGCTTAGAACACTCAGCATCTCTAGAAGCTTTAGATGAAGTCCTTTAGGGGGATACAATATATTTATTTATGTTTTGCCTCCAGCATTGTGGATTTCCACTACAACCCCAGAGAGAAGAACCATAAAATGCACATTATCAACAAATCACAAGCTAGAACAGAGGATTCCACTGAGATCTATTATTCAAAATTATTTGGGAGGAACAAAGTCTGCTTTTATTAAGCCATTTTTGCTTGCAGCAATGTACTGTACCATTTTAAAGACAGACATCAGTCCACCTTAATATGTAACATAGAGAATTACTACAAAGTTTATATTTATATGTATCAACTGAGCAGGGTAGGCTGAGCAAAGCCTCCAGTAAAAAAAAAAAAACTACTTTGTCCTGCAAGATGTAAATTTCTCTATGAAGTTCTTGGGTTGAGGGGGGAAATAGATAAAGGAATATCTGGGACCTCTTTCAAGTTTATCTTATAGCAACTTAGACCTGTATTTTTAATTTCTAACAGTGCTCCATGTAACATTGCTCAGGAGGACTCTATTCAGTTATAATGAAAGATTCAATGATATGTTATTGCTGTTAAGACAAACATGGTTTATGTACCTTTATGACAAATAGGATTTGTGCACAAAAAATGCTTATTTGCTTTAAGGGACCACAGGTGCTACAGACTATATTTCAGAAGAAGGCAATGACAAATCACTTCTTAGTATTCCTTGCCTAAGAAAGCCCAGGTCACCATAAGTTGCTGGGTGACTTGAAGGTACATACTTTACTTTAGATCGAACCCAAATACCATAATGATGTCCGATTTTCACAACTAAGCAAGGTCGGGCAGTTTCGTATTTGGATGGAGATTAGCAAGGACTGTCAGGTACTGTGGGCTTTATTTCAAAGTTAGACAATGGCAAACCACCTCTGAGTATTCCTTGTCTAATAAAACAATAAGAAATGTATGCAATCACAGTAAGCTGACTGGAAATCTAAAGACATCAGTATGGTGAATCTGCTCCCATGTTTATAACCTGCAGATGCTCCAAGTTGTATCTGCAGAATAAAAATCAACAAGCACTGGTGACATCCAATAGAATTTATGTAGAGAAGATACTAAAGTCTCAAGTTGTTGAAAAAGATTTTTTTTTCCAGTTAGTCCAATGCGTTTTGGTCTGGTAAATTTCAATAGCCTTCTTCAGGAGCTAACATGACAGCTCCTCAGTCTGGCCTCATGACATTCCCTCATGTCTAGTTTCTTAAAGGCTGCGTTGGTCCTTATAGTCCTATATATTTGGTAACTCCTTGCTGCCATTTGTTCCTGCTGGTTTTAGTTTTCACACATTGACCCTGGACTGCTTTGACCTCCTAGGGACACTCTGTTTGACCCTGAACTGGCTTGCTATCCTCATCTTTTGTTTCTTGAATTTTCCTAGGCACCTTTCTCCTCAATATCTCAGCTCCTCAATTGCATCCTGTCCTGGATATTTCAAGTTTTTGGAAGGTGATAAAACACATCTATGTAGCTGGGGTTTTAATTTATAGATTGTGCTGAAATTTTAATGGTTTTGTTGGCCTACATCCAGTCTCTAGTCCTGCCCGGAATAGATTCATTGAAGGGAGGAAAGGAGAAATGTGCCAAGAGGAAGGCACATCAAGCAAACCCTTGACAGGACCACCTTCCATCTGGAAATCAATGTCTTCATTGTAATAGGCCATGCGG